GTGGATTGACTTGCAATATTAGTGAGCGATTACTTCTCCGAAAGAGATCTTGAAGTATTCGGCAGCAAACTGAAAACTAGCGATAGAACTTCGCATCTGCCCGACACAAACAACCAATGTTATCAATTTCTCTCAGTATTTTGTAGTGAAGATAACTTTTTACTACACTTTAACGGTATCCTACTGAGTATAAACCGTTTGAATTACATTCTGACCCTTGCATGTTTTCTTCTCGGTTTTTTCACAAAGGTTTCTTCGGTAGGGAAACCAGGTCTGCCTCAATGTGCTCACTATGTAAGACTTTACACTCTAACAGCGCAATATAAGAATGTAGTTGTGTCCTACGTAGCAAGCGCTTTATGTGTAGAAAAAGTGTTAAACGAGAATTCATGTATCAACTGTCAACCATTCATGCATAACTAATATCATTTGCATAACTCAAATTGCTATAATTAACATTATTCAAAATGTCGTAGAGGAGTACATATATTGCAATATTACATGTTGAGGAATAACAGTTGCATCGTAAACGTATGGTACAAAGTGATTGTTATGATTACTATTATTATTGTTATTATCACTATTTATGCATGTCAGACTTCGATCTCTCAACGCTTGTTGCTGGAACTTTGGGAAACTGCCTAACGTTGAATAGCCCATGTTTTTTCCTGCACATACTATTCACCGTACCGCCCATTTAATTTCTTGGAGATCTGTCTATTTCAAACTTTGCATATAACACTGTTCCATCTTTAATGTTTTTCACCAATGATGCTTTAAAATGCAGACAAATACACAGAACAATGTCTTTCACCCTATTTACGCTAAAAAGCGTCTTTATTCACGAAGAAAAAAGCACTTGAACCATATCATCTGAAATTCTAACGCAGATTCTCGTCTAAGTCCACCCAACTATTGCTTTTTTCGTCTATAAAAAAATGTGAACTATTCACCTTAAGAAATAACAAGCTAGCTACGAGGAAGTGCAATTAATATTCCGGTAAGTAAATTCAAAGCACTAAGTCTACATTTAATTCGGAACAAGCGTCGTTCTTGTGCGGATATGACAGCGTTCAGAACCCTTACTTCCATTTTGCATTTTCTACCGTAATGTTATCAATTCTCAACTAGTAGATACTGCACTGAAGAACTGCTGTTGTTCGGTTTACTTAGTCATAGTTTCCCGTTATTACTTCAGGTTATAACCTTTTATGACTTCCTAACTGATATGCCGTACTCATCACTGTCACAATTCTATTTTCCGCAAAACTTCCCACAGCCTTTAATACACTACCATTAGATCTAACGAAAATCTCACTTAAATTCATTCTGCACACTGTAAAACCTCGTTAACTTTATCAATAAACTACCATTTTTAACTATTCTTCTGCCTATCATGAACGAGACTTGACGCTAGTCTTTGTTGGTGCAAATGTTATAGCCATTTTACACACAATGATCATAATTGGTTTTCTCAGTTTCGTCAATAGCTAATCATCCTATGATTGCCTACCAAAAATAATGTATAGTTTAGGAAGGAGGCAAACTCTTCCTAGTCAAGGCCTGTTAAACTAGTGCGTTTCTGAACAGGAACAAAAAGAATAATAGTCATTCTCATACAGAATTAAGCAACAGCTATGCCCCACATAAACCTCGCCTGATTATTAGTCTACTGGTTACCAGCCGGTCCTAAGACCGGGTAAACAGGGAAGGTTCAGAATGCGGCTAGCAACCCTACACCAGAAAACAAATACAACAACTAAAGAAACTTCAAACCACAAACAAAATGTAAAAAATAATAACAAAATTATTCCTCGCTGGAATCCGAGAAGCGAAATGACACCAGTTGGTGAAAGCCTTCAGGAAGCCAACTACCCCATGTGTCTTCCCATCTCTCGATGAAAGCGAAAGTAAGCGTAGAGACACGGAATGTCCGCACCATGTTTGAAACCAGCAAGGCAGCCCAGATTGCAAACGAGACGAAGAGGTATCACACTGAAGTGCTTGGAATTTGCGAAAGTAGATGGAATGGGAGTGGACTCTCCAAACTGTCAACTGGAGAATTAATAATCTACCCCGATGTTGTCACACACACACACGACAACCACGAGCACACTGAGTTTTGGAGTGGCTATCATGATGTCCCCATCACAAGGACATCGAAGGCTCTCTCTCATGCAGTGGGAATCAATCTCCTCCTCCACGATCAGGATCATGACAGCAAGCTTCAACTCAAAAGGAAGGAAGGTCACAATCATACAATGCTACGCTTCGCACCTACAAATAATGCAGAGCAAGAGAAGAAGGAGGAATTCTACAGACAACTGCTATCAACACTGGACAAGACCCCATACCAGTTGGCGATATCAAAATTCTAATTGGTGGGGTGACATGAATGCCAAACTGCGAGGAGTGGACAACACAGGAAGAGAACTAACCATGGGTAGAGAAGCACTCTGTGAGGTGATGAACGAGAATGGATAATTGTTTGCAGAATTCTGTGCATTCAACGATTTGGTGATTGGAGGTGAGGTAGTGTGTTCAAGCACAAGGATATCCACAAAGCGAGTGACATGGATTTCACCAGACACCAGATGGACACACTACACTAAAAATCAGATCGACTTCATCTCAATCTCAAGAAAGTGGAGACTCAGACAGCCTACTTGACACAAGGTCAAGAATAGGAGCAGATGTAGATTCAGACCACTCACACCACTATCTAGTGCAAGGAACCTAACTTCCAAACCAAGTTGAAAGCCTTCAAGGAAGTTGGTGATAGACCACAGTTCAAGTACAACACTCGGAAACTGAAGGACAAAACCACAAAGGAAATCTTCACATCAGTCAGCCATCAAGACAAAATGGGAGATATCGAGGAACATCCATGAAGAAACCTGTGTGGAAGAACACTGGAAGTCTTTGAAAGAGATGTGGAAAGAAACATGCACAACCGTATTAGGAAGGAAGAATGAGGAAGATAAGGAATGGATCTCGATGGATACATGGAAGCTGATAGAGCAGGGAGAGGAGGATGTTGAAGCAGAAGATAAACCAGTGCAAGGATGCACCATGACAAGAGGAACTGAGTACAATGTATAAAACAATACATGGGACGAAGACGTGAAGAAGAGTGCACGCAAAGACAAAAGACACTTCTACGACACTTTAGCAAGTGAAACAGAACAGGCTGCAGGCCGCATTTAGGAGAGACCTGACAACATTGAATCTTGAACAGACCACCACCTGCACTTCCTCCAGAAATACCAGCACTGTCACAGAACCACAAGTCAACATAAATCCTTCAACAAAAATGAAAGTCCTGAACGCCACAAAGCTACTGAAATGTGGGAAATGGGCAGGACCAGATGGAATCCCTCCAGAAGCACTGAAAACAGACGCAGAGACAACAGAGGACATGCTCACACCACACCACTATTGCAGAAGGTGTGGAAGGAAGGGAAGGTACCTGCTGATTGAGTGGAAGAAGGGTTACCCTGTCAAACTGCCGAAGGAGGGAGACCTCAGTGTTTGCAAGAACGGGCGCAGAATCACTCTCCTGTCCATGTCCACCCCAAGCAAAATACTAGGCCGCATCATCCTGGAGAGGCTGAAGGATGCACTGGATTCTAAACTGGGACCCGAACAGACAAGCTTCAGGAAGCACGGACCAAATTGCGACGCTACGCTACACATCATCATACAACAGAGTACAGAATGGCAGTCAACTCTCTACCTCAACTTCATCGACTTTGAAAAGGGTTTTGACAGCATCGACCGAGAGGTAATTTCGAAACTGTTTCAATACTATGGAATACCACAAACTTTTATCAGCCTCATTCAACAACTATGCCAGCCAAGTAATTCACAATAGGAAGCTCAGCTCAGTGATGCTTTTGAAGTGAAGACAGATAGGAGTAAAACAGGGCTGCTGCCTACTATCACCCATGATATTCCTGATTGTGGTCGACTGGACTGGATCATGCAACAGGCCGTGAGAAACGAGAAGAGGGGGATACGCTGGCTGAACCGTGGAAAAGAACCTAGAACATTCGGATTTCACCGATGACTTATGTCTAATATCACACAAACTCGATGATCTACAGGCGAAAACTAACAAGTTGACAGAAGAGGCAGGGCAGCGAAGGAAGACGGGACTCCAAGTGAATATAGAGAGGACAGAGATGATGTAGATACCGCACCAACAACTCCAATAACAACAACAAATTCCAATCACTATCAACAGGAGAAATCTAAGGGAAGTAACCTCCTTCACCTATCCAGGCAGCACTGCTTCAACTACAGGCGGGACAGACGAGGATGTCCATGTCTGAATCAGAAAAGCAAGAGAGGCGTTCATTAGCCTGGAAACGGTGTGGAGATCTTCTACACTCAGCATAAAGTGTGAACAAGATCCGGATTCTCAACACCAACCCAGTCAAGTCAGTGCTTCTATAGGATGCTTCAGAGACTTGGTGTGTTACAAAAGGCATTTCCGACAAACTACAGACATTCATCAACAACTGCCTACACTGCCTCGTTACTGAAGATCAGATGGATTGCCAGAAAGAATAAGTAACAAGGAACTCTGGCTGGCAACGAACCATTCAAGAACCCATCACCCAACAAATATGCGCTGGAAGGAAGTGGAGATAGATTGGAATGGGCATACACTCAGAAGGTCGACTGGGAACATCACGCGTCAGACCAGGTACTCGAGTGACACAAACCGTAAATAAGTAACTGATATCAGTCAACTACCCACATAATGAATTTCAAGGTGTGAAGCAAACAAACTACTTCATTCATGTAACCCACCTCATATAAACTTTAGAGAGAATAATCAATAAGTCCACAATGACACTGAAATCTTTTAAATGTAGTTGAAGTATACAAACTAAGCCTTTTAGGATCAACAGTACCATAAGAAAAGGTTCGTATATTCAGCCATATATGACTGTTAGACTGTCAACAATAGATTACATAAAGCGACGATCCTAATGTTTACTTACGAGAAGTGGCAATCCCATATAATAAAGCATCAGCAAAAGGTAATGTAACAAACGTCCAAAGTATGAACCCTACAAGGCTGCTAGAAAATAATGCACAAGATAGTATTACGATAATTACAAATAATAGGAATTGTAGCAAGACACACTTGCTGGTAATGAATTCAACTTGGAATCCAAATCAATGTGTACTGCAAAATTACAATAATTTTTATCCGTCATGTATTTATCAACTACAGTGTTGGCTAATTAACTGATAAAGATGTCAAAGCCCTGATCCAATAACTTTGACCCCAATCAAGTAAAAGAAAAGATACAGCCAGCTAAACACAGCTTCCAAACACCAAGTACTCAAGTAGCAAGGACAGCCGTGAATTCATGGTGGGTCTAATGGAATCCCTTATGGGTATTAACGGCCTATCATACTCATCGTTTACAAATGGCCTAAATAAGCTGCTGTCTGTGAGACAAATAAAATCACCAAAGACTATTTGCGTTAAGTCAAACTGTTTCCACTTGGATAAGATATACACACTTAAAACCACTATTGTCTACTTACCGATAGAATCATCTCATGACCCTCTAACTATCTGGGAAAAGATGCAGATAGATTGTGTAATAAACTACCACCAAACTATGCTCAATCATGCGCTACTGAGTCAACCTTGAGTCTGTTTAATGAGTTCAAAATCCTTACACATTATTTCTGTCCCTACAAGTCATTTTCACAAATATCACGGTCTACTATTAGCTAACTAAAAGTATTAGAAAGAATTTTACTTACATTCAAGCTAACCATCACCATAACCACTGAGTCTTTATGCCATGCCAATGTACCACGTTAAGAGTCAATTACTGACATGTAAAACGCTTGGGGTATAACCGGAGTAACAAGAAAGGTCATTTCCGTATTCAGACGAAAAAATAAGGTTCTCGACGAGATAAATGACTCTTTAGGAACTACTAAACACTACAAAGATGTTACTCTACTGGTCGGACGTGTTCGCATAGTACCTGACGCCTTTTGTAACCATGCAGTTTGATGAAATATTGCTGTAGAACGCTCATCCCTAATTCCATGTAGTCAGAAGACTATATACCAGGACTTTAGGTGACTTGACATTCAATAAGATTTACTTACCTGTTTATCATAGAAAAGTGCATAAGCTTTTGATGAAGCATTAGTGACATCATGACTTTGGCGCACTTAGGGTATTTCTTGATGTTCTTACCTCTATCTCGCACTACCACTATATGTGATGAAAAGCGAGGAGCTCATTGGGAAAGACAGCTGATCTAGAGTGCATATTGTCCCCGAACTTCTTAAAAAGCCACTGGACTACATAACGTTTCATTTATTATTCACAACATTAAGGTACATAATAAATCAGTGGATACGTGGGAAATATTCAGCAACATATTTGCCGCTATTTATCTCAAACCCATAACTCTTAAAATAAAAGTACTTTCTACACTCAAAAGTTATTCCTTGCTAACACTGATACGAATTTGCTCCACTGAATTCACGTGTGATAAAATTTACAAATCCATTATAGTATTAAAAATGCTTCAGTTGTGCTGGCATGAACAGAATAGCGTCCTATTCTTATGAATACTATAGCCCTGGTGTCTGATTATTATCACTTAAAATATTTTCTGTTTTTGAGAATCATTCATATACCTTGATATCTGCAAATCAACTTTCATTGTAACTGAAGAAAATTGCGGTACGATAAGACAAACGAGTAATAATAGACTATAAAGTATTACACCAATAGTCTCTCAAATTATGAAGCCATTAAGGAAAGCATTTCTCAACATATCCTCATAAAAACAATCGAGTTCAAACAACGTGGCGTTTTGAGATCCAGACAGTCTCAGCCTCATTACTACTAAATGTGGTCAACATTAATTAACCATTTTACTAGATGTCAATATTTCAAAGGCATTCTGTCATAATGATGATTTTTTTTTCAATAAGTTGCAGTCTCTCAAAATTGATCTTCCACTATTTGGATGGATTAACTCATTTCTAAATAATCGCACTTGCCTCTCAAAACCTATGCAAATTAGCGTTGGTGTAGTTTAACGTAGTGCATTCGGTGTTGCGTCTGTCTTTGTTTTGATTTGTGCAATGTAATCAAACATCTCAGTCACTTATTTTGTTTGGTTTCATTTAGTCTGTCTGTTTAAGCATAGCTGGAGTTTTGCTTAGCTTCATTGCACCACTGTATTTTGTTTTGGTCATAAACAGTAGTAGCCGAAACCAAATTATTTGTTTACGAAGCACAATTTTATAAAGTTAATCAAAACGTGAAATTATATTTCTAGTTTGCTATCCAACAATTCTGAGTTTGTTCAGTTTGCATTTAGGAATGGGGACCTCAGAAACTCTTATCTTCGTGTCGTATTGCTCATCAGTTAGGACCGTATCATAAGATGGCTTTCTCTTTACTGTATACGCCAGCGACATTTGAAGCTGCCTCACATACACGAGACCATTTTCATTTGAAATACATTCCACCTAATGGTCTCCTTTAATCCCAATCTTTAGCACAAAGTGAGCTCGATCTAATATCTACATGACCCAAACACAAAGATTGCTTTAGAAATGTAGACAATTATATACCTATCAAACTTCTTTACTTATTTCCCTACAACAACAACAACAACAACAACAACTACTACTACTACTACTACTACTACTACTACTACTACTACTACTACTACTACTACTACTACTACTACTACTACTACTACTACTACTACTACTACTACTACTACTACTACTACTACTACTACTACTACTACTACTACTACTACTACTACTACTACTACTACTACTACTACTACTACTACTACTACTACTACTACTACTACTACTACTACTACTACTACTACTACTACTACTACTACTACTACTACTACTACTACTACTACTACTACTACTACTACTACTACTACTACTACTACTACTACTACTACTACTACTACTACTACTACTACTACTACTACTACTACTACTACTACTACTACTACTACTACTACTACTACTACTACTACTACTACTACTACTACTACTACTACTACTACTACTACTACTACTACTACTACTACTACTACTACTACTACTACTACTACTACTACTACTACTACTACTACTACTACTACTACTACTACTACTACTACTACTACTACTACTACTACTACTACTACTACTACTACTACTACTACTACTACTACTACTACTACTACTACTACTACTACTACTACTACTACTACTACTACTACTACTACTACTACTACTACTACTACTACTACTACTACTACTACTACTACTACTACTACTACTACTACTACTACTACTACTACTACTACTACTACTACTACTACTACTACTACTACTACTACTACTACTACTACTACTACTACTACTACTACTACTACTACTACTACTACTACTACTACTACTACTACTACTACTACTACTACTACTACTACTACTACTACTACTACTACTACTACTACTACTACTACTACTACTACTACTACTACTACTACTACTACTACTACTACTACTACTACTACTACTACTACTACTACTACTACTACTACTACTACTACTACTACTACTACTACTACTACTACTACTACTACTACTACTACTACTACTACTACTACTACTACTACTACTACTACTACTACTACTACTACTACTACTACTACTACTACTACTACTACTACTACTACTACTACTACTACTACTACTACTACTACTACTACTACTACTACTACTACTACTACTACTACTACTACTACTACTACTACTACTACTACTACTACTACTACTACTACTACTACTACTACTACTACTACTACTACTACTACTACTACTACTACTACTACTACTACTACTACTACTACTACTACTACTACTACTACTCGCTGTTACTCCTATAGTTTTCCGTATCAAATGTTCTGCCTTGAAATTCGACGGACTATAAATTACTGAAGGTTAATTTGAGCGGTTTTTATCAATGAATTGTGCTACCTAAAGTGAAAGAAACCGACTATTTAGAGAACCTACACTCCTAACCGAAAGCAGTATGAAGCCATCTCCTAGAAAAACGGATATAGTTGCGATTCAACTTGGAAGGTAAATGTCAAAGGAGAGTCTTATTTTCAAAACCTAAATCTCATATCGAGTTTCTCATCTTCAGTTCATCACCAAACTTTTCACTTCTTAGAGTAACTGATCGCATTGGCAACTCAGATCCGACAAATAAGCCTGAAAGTCTGGATCGGGGTTTCGCTTTGCATTCACTTAATGGGTCATACCCAAAGGATGTAGAACAGTGAGTGGGAACTTACCTCACATGCAGACGTATAAAGACTATACATCACACTAGTGCTCTAGTTCGTAAGCTTCTCACTCCTACTACTTGATGCTTACATAGAGACGTAGATATTATTGAATATGTTTCCTCCTTCAAATAGTTTTCATCATATTTTTAAGTATGTAGACTGATTCATTCGTTGAAGTATTGCAGTTTCACTGCTAGGCGCTTTAATAAAAAGGTTGCCAAAGTATTAAATAGGAAGCTGAATTTCCAGCTTATTTACTCTGTCAGCAATTACTGAAAGATCATTGAAAGTCTAGCACATTCTAAGACCAACGTACTCAAACAACTCACTGGTTTGTTTGAGATTGGGTGTACATATGCCACATAGCATCATCGCGATTCATATGGCTTGGTAGAAGGCTTTCACATAAAATCAGTGGTTTCACTTACCGTTGCTTTCGTAGACAATAATTTGCCCAGTAATTTTCCACCATTGTTGCACAGAATTAGAACTACATTGAAAAAAGGTATTCGATGCTGCACCTAAGAGTTAGTCTCTGGGACAAAATTACTTTCACTTACTGAGTTGTTCACGATTGATAATTAAATTCTACTTGGTATGGAGAGATATGTACAGTTACCAAGGAAACATATGAGCAAGTTAGAAATTTCATTTACATGACCACAACAACCCCCGTTATATATCCGAACACACCCAAGCAACTATAGTCGCCTTTTGTTGGACGAGATGCTACAGGTGACGGATGCAACCACCTTATGGTGGTTCATCATTATCATTATTATTATTTTCCCTTGGGTTCCTGGTGGAACATAGGACTTCAGTAGCACGTCTCCATTTCACTCTGTTCTCTGCAGTCTTTTGAACCTGGCTCCACGACTGCCTACAAGCTTTCATTTCTTCTTCACATGATCTCCTCCATGTCACCCTCGGACGCCCGACTCGTCGTTTCCCCTTTGGATTGCCTATGATGCTTCAAACAAAGTCGTAATTAGAAGTGACAAAATCATCACCATCAAAAGACTGACCAAATTAGATGTAGCCAGTACTAATAGAGTAAATCCTGAATTTATCCGTAGCATTTAAAAAAATGATAAAGGAAAGATCAGCAGTGATAATTCGCCTGATCAACCTACAAAATCCTAATCGTCTTCAGAAAAATTTGCAGTAGCAACTCGAATAGATTGGAGTTCTCATTTATCGTAACTTTGCATACAAGTCATAAGGATCTAAATTTTTTGAACATTACTTTCAAATCATCTGTTGAAGTCATTTCTTTTCATTCAGTTCATTATTATTGGGTTTCTGGTAAACATTTTATTGTTGTTTATTTTTCCTTACTTTCATTTCCTTACTGTTATTCACTCACTATCTAACCTAACGCTTGTGAATCCTCGCATAGTTACTACACTACTACATATTCTTTGTCATTTTTTGTTGTCAGTGATTAGCTATGAAACTCTCGTAATTCCAGTAATCATGACTAACAGTATCACACGTTAAAAAAATACTCATCAATCACTCATGATTTACTTTTCCTTCCTAATACCTGAAACTATTAGTTTATATGTCATTTTCCTGGTGGAGGGGTCGTATTGTCTTCTCGATGTAACTCCATTCATACTATTGTGCAAATATCGTACACACCAATATCAAATTTGTGTTGGAAATTATTTTGTTTACTTGCTTTGAACGTTGACCAATATAAGTAATTGCAACTTTTCAAATCCTTTGCTGTTTGCCTTGAAGTTTTGTTGTCACTGTAGTAAGTACCGTTGGCGTCTATCGGTCAGGATAATTTGGAATACAGTGCTGATGCTATCCCGTCTAAGGGATTTACTACCTATCTATATATCCGTGTTTACATTCATAGTTATCAGGAACCATTATCATTGTTCATGCAGGATCACATTGACCTAATTGCTTACTAATTAAATTCTTTATTTCTACGTAGGTTAATTTTAGGCCCAGTGCTCACTGAGTCCTCAAGTGGAGTTAAAACCACAATGGTTTCATCTGTTTGTAAAATTTCTCATACCACCCCACCATTGAGGTGGTGTGAGGAAATATTTTGGTTAAAAAAGGATAACAAAATGATATTTTATATTTGGTTTTTATGTAACTGTAAGCTCACAATCTCTGTTTGTTAACCTTATCAGTACTACCTGGCGATAAGAAGTTAATGGTTTCCTCACTCTAAGCTGCAGCTTTGTCCAATTTGAACTTGTCAAGAACATCTAAACAGGTTTATGATGGTTACAATGCGCTCATAGTTTATGTAATCTGCTCGGAGATGCACATGTACATCAGCAGTAACACTGAGTTTTCTTGTTTGGCGTATGGATGTGAGGAAGAGTTAAATTTGAGAATAGTTAAGCTGCGAATGCTCTTGGAACACATTTTGAACTAGATCTCTTTCATGAAAGATTTTTTCAAGGTAGTATTCACTACGAAGTGGCATTAGGTGGATAGCTAGTAAAAACTTAGTAGCACTGGGGGAATGTTACGTCATAGTTTGGAATTCTTCCAAGGCGCAAGCCTGGAAGCCCAACAGGACTTGTGCTAAGGTTCTGTGATGAACACATTGCCGTTCAGTGAATGCGTTTCAACTTATCAGTCAACATTTTCCTACATTTGTCAATTATCGATTAAGAGAGACCAGTAACCAAAGTCGCTGGTGAGTATTTGTCCTCAAGTTCGACTTTATTGATTTCCTCACATTAGATACATAGAAAAATGCTTAGTTTCGTAGCAATAGAAAAGTTGAGGTTGAAAGAACTTCTAGTTCTTTTATTTTATAGAAGTAGGAAAATACTAAAAACAGACCAAATAGGTATATTTGCTTCGTATAAAGGTTTTAAAAAATTATGAATGCTCTGGTCTAATTACATTATTATGATGAGGTATTGTAAGTTTGCCGGAGATCATTGAGGTTAGAATACAGTTCAGTGTTTTAGCTTGTTGAAAACCAAATGCTGCTTGCATTTGAACATTGTCCAGTGTGAACTTGGAGTTTCCCTTGTCTTTTTCAGTAGCTGCACTCGACTGCGATATCTCTGGTGCACATTCAAATAACGTCATACTCCATATTAAAGAAAGGTTGCCCAAATTCATTTTATTCTGTTCCCTATAACGACTTACTCTACAAGTAAAACATATTGATGAAATGAAATTAACAAGAGCAAATATGAAAAATTTATTTATATACTTATGAAAATATGAAATCTGGAGTGATTTTTCACCTAAAGATTTCAAATTCTAGACTTGTATAAGAATAATATATATTTAAATCCTTATCCCTAAGTTATCAGTTAAAACACTCCTTTCAAACATTAAGTTTTCAATTGATATTTATTACTGCCACATTCGAGAAAAATCTTGTTAACATTTATCTGAAAAATAAGTATGAAATAAACGTTCCTGAATTGGCCTTAAGACAGTAAGATAGATTATTCGTTGACATTCGTTTTTATCGGTTTCGGCCTATCTGGAAACACATTTTGGGTCTCGGAGATGCCTTCGACTGGACTTTAATTATTTCCTAAGAAATGAAAAAAACACTTGGAGCTATGTATTCTATGTGTTAAAACTCATCAGCTTGGTGATTTTAGGTTATATAGGGAAGATACATTTTATGTGGAATTCACAGTTGTTTTTTCCAAGTTATCAGTTATATTTTATATCCTCGATTGAATCACAGAAAACCATAAGTTAAATAGGGCTCAGCAAAACTCTCCATGGGACGACTTTATTCCACTACGAAATAAGCAAATCCAAGTAGGAGCCACGAAGACGGAGGGGAAAGTGGATAAAGGGTATAACTAAACACGATACTGCTATCTGGGTAGGATAAGTCACAAGCGTATATAGGTTACCACGAATGTTTTTGCGCTGTATTTTTAGAATCCGTAACTGTAGACCTTGATTGTATTTTGGTCACTAATGCTTCCCTTGTTGCACCGAAATAAGTGAATGAATTATTAGTCAAGGTTCTCTAGTCCTTTAGGTTTGATTAATGCATGTTTCTTGCTAGGATTTTAAGAAATATTAGTATGGAACAGATCCAATCAGATCATGTGGTGAATGACAACAGAAACAAGAAACATAGAAGTGAGTTATTACCTATAAAGTCATATCCGTATATCTGAAGTTATATATGCATACGAGTAATTTTAATTTGTAAATAAAATCAAACCACTCGCAGTTAGTTGCAATAGAAGACAACATTATCGTCTCACACAAATAATACAAATGAGTTATATTTGGCGATTGCAGTTAAGTAGATTGCAAATTTACATCAGCGTTTTCTTCAGTAAAAAAGAAAAGCGTAGTTGGGAACTTTTCAAAGTAGATTTATTGATTTGTAAATAACTGTATTTGGTAAGCTAAATTTGAAATGAAGATAGTGATAACCGATCTTCACTATATGGTATGAAAAAAAAACAGTAACTAAAACTGTCTGAAAGCATCCTGACCAATGGACTGGATGTTTTGAAAAAACTTGGGCTTCCAGTTAATATAATTCATTGTAAAGGGTGTGTTTTACTTATGTTATCCAGGAGGAGTATAATATATTTCGATGAAACTGATTAATTTATATCGCTACTTATTACCACTTAGCTAACAAGCGGGAGTGAATTTTATACCCTTAGTTAGTTTCAAGAACCCAACAACTACTCAGTCTTTCTTTGCAATACAATACAAGCTGAGTAACTACAGTAAACATAAGTGACCTAGTCGACCATACCTGCTACTTTCAGTTATAAAGTGTTTTTCTCAGTCACCTAGTGACTATCGTATTTTATCAGCAGTAATTAACTCTACAGAAAGAGTGGATAAATGGGGTTTTGGCCAATAACTCGACCACTCTAGAGGGCTTAGTTTTATGATGTTAGAAAAACGCCTTACTTTCTTATTAAATCACTCCTAAGTTGGATATCTGATTAACTAAAACACTTGACTCGCAAGTTATTCCTGTGTGTTAAAAGTAAGCAAGTTCAAATCACTGCCTGGATGAAAGTTTGCTTGTGAGGTAACGAGATCTTCAATCCGATCCTCTAAAATGCTTGAAAATATATAGTGTTGTATGGTCTCAGACTAGAAAAAACTGCACAAATTATAATCCTTGGTTCCCATCAAATATTTGAGGTAGTGTTAATGATTAGCATCTGTGTTCAAATGAAATTATTGTTGTCCGGTTAATTTATCATTTTCATTTTGTTTTATGCATTTCTTAGTTTTAAAAAAATTGACTGAAACATTTTAAACTTATCTACGAGCCTAAATTTTTGTTGATTAACATAGAGTTCTATGAACAATTAAATAATTTGTACTCGATTAGCATGATTTTGCTAAGTCATGTAAGCGGCTACAAAGTGTGTATAACTCTAATCCAAGCATTTCTCCTATAATTAGCTGGACAGCTTTTCTCTATATCTACATAAATTTACATCACATAACAATAACTTACGTGATTAAATGATTAGCTAAGTAATTAAATATTTCCAGGTTTACAGTAGGAAGTTGATAGAGAATGTCGTATATGAGTTGGTATCGGAAAGATTCGTCGTCAATTTCTAGAAAAAAGACGTAATCACTGAATCTGATGAACATGATGAATATACGTGTAAACAGGAATAGACTATACTTATATATTAACAAGTAATTTATTAATTGCGTGATTATCTCCTTATCTTTACCCAAACATCATATCTTAAGCTATTTCTCAGCATTTGCTTGCTACTCAGTTTGCATCTTTGATGTCAATGTAAAACTAACCAGTTTATATCTGATAGTATTTTCATTGTATCTGTGACCCTATAAGGTCTTTTTGGAAACTGTTTTGTAGTTACAACCTGTGAAATGTATGAAGTTTGTCAGATTAAATTTTGAATGCAATTGTTTTAAATCTTTAACTGAACATTGAAATCAGTGGCCATCAAGTCATTTATTGACCACAGACAAGATCTTGGAGACGTATCGGTACTCCAAACCAGTAGCATGATCACAGCTCCTATCAGTGTTTGATACTATCTCTACAACAGATAGTCAAGTTAGATTAATATTTCAAGAAAGAAGGCTCTGACATTATATTCAACTAAAAATTAGAGTGGTTTTCATGGAAAATGAAGAATGTACTAGCGGTCTATTGCGTCGACCTAACATTAAGTAGCAAAAAGAAACATCCTGCTATTTTCAGCTTCCAATGTTCTACTCGAAAATTTGTGCTACTGATAAGTAGTTTGGCATAGGAAATCTTGAAATTTTCGTATCAGTTTGTGATTCCTCAATCCATGAAGTATTACTTCAATGTAGAACAGGTCCGTGAAATGATGAATAAAAACAAGTTATGCGAACACTTGAAACACCTTGTTGTGTAGATTGTTTATGGAAATATATGATCAGTAAATGCCTTTAACTACATTGTAAATAATGTCAACAAGGGTTAAAGTTTAACAAGAAGTATTGATCTGTGGACCGGAAGATAAAAATAATAATGCGTAGAAAAAGACAAGTCAGACTTACATGGCAAAAATATGTAGACAGTAGTGAATAGAGTTCGTAAGTGCTTGTCTTTTTATTCAGGTGATGTAGGCAAACAGGGATAGTATATTTAAGAAAGTAAGAGACATTTCAATCATTTCTAACTATTCGTGCTTGTGCTTGCATTAGTTTTTTAGCTGTCAACGGCTTGATTGGTGGAAAAATCAATTGAAACATGTACACGGACGAAATAATTCATCAGATACCATCATTTAAGAGATTGTTTCCTACGAGTGGCATAATCAAAGTTATGTGCGGCTTTCTTCTGTCAACATGTTCCACTTGTTTGCTATTCATACAAGCTTTTGTTTAAGAGATAGTAGCACAGTGATTTTACTTGCCTTTGCTTAGAAACATACCAATATTTCTATGTATTAAATGTTGAGATCCAAACAGAGAGGTACCACTACTCACTTAGGTTTCGTGCTTTTAGACAATTATTAACGAGGTTTCATCTAAGAATAAAAAGTATGTCACGCATTGGTAAGAGCATTGAATATTATTTAAAATTTTGTAGGGAAAGAAAAAGGCAGAATAATTTTGGACAGCAATTTGTGAAAGATGGAAAAAACTCTTGGAGATAGAAATTTTATCAAGAAGACCATTTGAGAAGCGAGGGATTGATAATAATTCATGAGGGAATAGAATAGAAGAGAAAAAAGAGATATAATTTGAGATGAAAGGTTAAGACCAAGAAACATGATCTTGAACAAATTATTTTTAGTATTTCAAGCTGTAAACACTCAAAGAACAACCGAATCTTTAGCAATCCAAAAGAGGTCAGCCCATACACCTAACTAAAAGGTAATTCTCCCCTTGTAGTTAATTTCTAAATCAGCGCTCATTGTGACAGAGTGACCATTGTAGATAAAGTGTGCACCTACCACACTTCTTACGCATACACTGAAAAGTTTTTGTAACAACTCAGTACAGTTTTCTTGAAACCTTTTATGTGCAACATACGCGTCAAATAACCGTTATTCCTAACTGTGCGAGTATGAGTAGAAATGATGCACAGATATTTTTATGACTGATTGGCAAAAAAGTCAAAGATCGTGAAACTTTTATTACCGGTGGCAACAAATATGACTTTGACCATATGCTGCAAGCATTGTTAAGATGCAACTCACTGACATCATTCAGTATTAGGGTGTTAAGTTGACCTAAAACAACCTTCCCTTGTGAATTAGAAAGGAGACCGATAATCTCTCTTTTAGTATTCATATGCGTAAAATCAAGGCTAACCAGCGAGTGTGTATCCTCCTTAGACCAGTATATTCTACAATGCAACGACCGCGAGCGTTGGTAGGTAACGAATGCTATAGACATGGAGAAGGTTGCAGTAGTAGGTAACAGCAAACAGTTATTTCAACCAAACAATAAAACTACGAAGATAAGGTCACTGATTAGAGGGAGTATAGTGAGGAAGGATGGGTCTACGATTTACTTGCAGATAAAAGGACTGTAACAATGGTCGAAACACAGCAGAGAAACAACTTAACTGTCCTGTTACTCCAGTTCCGTTGCTCACTACCCAGTCAGACCTTGATTGGAGCACTCAGTCAAGTTAATCGATCCTTGCGGTAACTGAGGAGACTGAAATTAACTTGAAACAGGGAAGGCAATAACAGTCATACAGATTAGTAATGGAGGTATTTAAGAAGGCTGTCCTAGGATTGTTGGTTGAATGAGGTGGATTGTATCATACATGATCTCTTATGACTGATATCAGTCACCGATTACTTCACTCTTCAAGAAAGGTGAGAAATCCCCCTGTGATTAAAGCAGAATCAATCTGTTAAACATAGAGTGCAACATCTTAGACTGTATGAAGTGGAGCTATCAAACAGCGAAACTGGAAAATCAATGCAGGTTTCAGAAATGGTCATGAGTATTTCAATCAGATTTTCAGCCTTCTACAGAGTTTAAGCCGCAGGCACACTCACCGGTGCCCAACGATAGCTTCATTTCGTGACTTGTAGGTGGCATTTGACTTAATCGAATGAAAAACTTTGTGGTAGTGTCTCTCACCCAAAGATATGTCAAGTAAAAACACCACACTGTTAATATCTCTGTATTAGAACACGACTGGTCAATTGACAGCCTATAACGAAGTGGTATAAACTCACTTATCGACGTCTCATTTCTGTAGTCTAACTTGATAGAGATTGATATTGTCACATGAGACTCCTTACATAGGTGACACATACGCGTTTGGTAAGAATGCTGAGAAGATACAGAATCTGCCTAGCCTATTGACTGGTTCTTTGTGAATGTTTGGGCCACGATTCTCACCACCAACATGTAAATTGTTTCTCCAGTACTGCTTTTCGCTGGCAACGTGTCTAACAATGGAGGATAAATTGGCTAAGCAAGTTGATCACTTCACTTATTTAGGAATTCTGATCAGTCCTGCTAGGTCAGAGAAGAGCAAAACCTTTACTGAGATACAAAAGGGTCTGTTGGCCTTCGCCAACCTGCACAATTTATGGCGTCATCATTATATCCAAAGGCCTATCAAAGTTTGAGTATATTGAGCTACGGTTTGATGTGTTCCATTGCGTAACTGTGTAACAAGGGCGTTTAAGGTGATGGACATGGAGAGGTCTCAGGTGTCTGACAATAATTACCTTCATAGGAAAGGCCATGTGTCGTTGTGCTGTCGCTTTAGTTACGCAGAAGTCAGACACTGAGTTTTGGTAAAAAAAGTAAGTCTATCGAGGAAGTTGTGAGCTCTCATCTACTCAGAAGGCTGAGGCATATGTTGTGCATGCCTGGTCACAAGTTGTCTCGTCGTGCATTGCTGGCTGAAATTTTTTTAGAATGGACAAAGTTTAGAGACGGACTGTGAAGTCTCGAACTGTTTCTGTGAGCCATGTATAGAAATGTAGAATACCTGGTTGGGTTTTGCACGACAAACAAAGTCAGAGATTGGATAACCTAGGTGATATGGCCCAGGATAGATATCAGTGATGCAGATACCTCCACACACTATCTTATTCATCATCGTCATGTTCGTCTCCCCTTGTTCTATCACCACAACTTCCCACCACTTTGTCTACCTTTCACCATATTTCTCTGTGTTGTATCTCGGTACTTTCGATCTTGATGCGCTAATATGAGATGTAGAAATATGGATCGTTATACAATAATGTCAGTTCTCATACTGAAACTGACTGTTGGATGAATGCAGATAATTTCATGTAAAATGCTGAAAAGTTAGAAGTTGGAACATTGATAGGGGAGAATATAACTGCAAGAAACTTCAGTACTCATCAAATGGAAAACAAGGAGAAACACTAAATACGTGATCTCAGTCTATTTAAAGGTAAGGGATTAAGTGGTACTTATTTGACATCATTTTAGTTGCCATTAGCATTTAATTTTTCCTTTTAAAACGAGGAATTTAAAGAACGCTAGTTGTAAGTCTTATCACCTTCGATTGAGGCGTTAAAGTTTTGCTGTTCATCAGTATATGGGGATACTTCAGTTCCAGGATTACTAAAATTGCAAGGAATTATTGTGTTCAGTTATTGGTAGTTTTGACTGTAGTTTACTTAGTACATCAGACACTAACTTATGGCCATCCTTGTTGGTAAATGCCATGCTACTACGTTACTAAGTCCTATACTAAAAATCTACCTACTTTTTTGATTCTTGGACCAATATTTCATAGCAAAATCCAACAGTTTTGTTTTAGATGCTCCTTACTCAAGTGGTCAAAGTTTAAACTAATACAAGTTAAAGGAATTTATGGCTTCAAAATACACTACTGATTATTCAAGATAAGTGAATACACGCTTGACACTTTAAGTTTTCGTCACTTGGACAGTTAATCAAAACAGAGAATGCCGATATTGTATCTTTCTTTCTAGAAATTCGTTTAATTTAGACTGACTGATAAGATTTCATATGTGGAAACAATACTTTATATGTAGCGTTTACAGAAACATGCTATTTCAGGTATCTAACCACGTAAATTATCATAACAAATATTCAGGCAATATCGAGGCATCCACATAGGAGCTCAAATCCCAACAGAGGTCGAACAATTTGATCCTGTAAAACAACAGAGAATTACAAGCATATCAACAAATAGTAATGGCTAATACCCGTTCTACAAGAAGTGGATACCGTGCCTCAGTGAAATAGTAGCTAGTGCCGTGGTTTTCGAAGCAATAGGTATGAGGTTCGAATCTCCGTGGGAACAACAATCACTGGGATGAAGATGCTCCCAGCTGACAAGTCCCAAATAAATAGAAACACGAGTAGTGGTAGTAGTAGGAGGAGGAGGAGCAGTTTTTAACTGGTTTGAATTACGATAAACATGAGTCCAATTACGGTGGAGAATAAACCTAGGTGAATAGGGTAAGCAGAGGTGAAACGCAGCTGTATAGACTCTTGCAAACCGCTTTACAATATCCAGTATCACTTAAAGTTACGCAGCTAGTTTTGCTAAAAAAATTATTGAGTAAGAAAGATAACGACATTGAAGTTATTATATAAGAACATACAAAGGGATAAATGTATATGATAAACAGGCATACCGACTGCTTGAACTAAAGCTTTTGTAGATGCATAATCAATTAGGCTTTCTGGCAGTTGCTGAAAAAATTGTTTCAGTAGACTTGTAATCACTGGTAATTGTACTAGCGTTAATCTTTGAATAGCTAATTTACAACCTAAAAGTTTGAAAAAAATGTATAATGAGTAAAATGCATTTCTCAACTACTCAGAGGAAAACATTACATATTTTAAGCTCAACCATTCACTAAATAATATCAGCAGAAGCATATCCTATGAAGTATTGAAATACATACCTTTGAACACTCTATATATGCTTGAAAAAATAAACATTTGTTGCTTCCGGGAATCGGAATCAAAGCTAAAAGGTGTAAATTCTATAGGGATTCAGTTACAGAATATGTATCTTGGTGCTACAGCTTTTGACTTTAAGTGATGTAGGTTCGAATCTTCATAGTCTCAGAGAAAGAGGAGAACGCTGTGTTTGTGTGTCAGTAAGCCTAAAACCCAGGTTCAAGGCTTACTGAAAGTTAATCTGCAACAGCCAATACCGAAAGAAATAAGTTAAACATCATTTTAAGTAGATACCCACAAACAAATACGGCTAGCAACCCTACCCCGGAAAACAAATACAACAACTAAAGAAACTTCAAACCACAAACAAAATGTAAAAAATAATAACAAAATTATTCCTCACTGGAATCCGAGAGGCAAAATGACGCCAGTTGGTGAAAGCCTTCAGGAAGCCAATTACCCCATGTGTCTTCCCATCTCTCGATGAAAGAGAAAGTAAACGTGTGGACATAGAATGTCCGTACCATGTTTGAACTCAGCAAGGCAACCCAGATTGCAAACGAGATGAAGAGGTATCACAGTGAAGTGCTTGGAATTTGCGAAAGCAGATGGAATGGGAGTGGACTCTCCAAACTGTCAACAGGAGAATCAATAATCTACCTCGATGTTGTCACACACACACACACGACAACCACGAGCACACTGTGTTTTGGAGTGGCTATCATGATGTCCCCCTCAACAGCATCGAAGGCTCTCTCTCATGCTGTGGGAATCAATCTCCTCCTCCACGATCAGGATCGTGACGGCAAAGTTCAACTGAAAAGGAAGGAAGGTCACAATCATACAATACTACGCTTCGCACCTACAAATAATGCAGAGCAAGAGAAAAAGGAGGAATTTTACAGACAACTTCAATCAACACTGGACAAGACGTCAGTCGACGATATCAAAATTCGATTGGGCGACATGAATGCCAAACTGGAAGCGGACAACACAGGAAGAGAACTAACCATGGGTAGAGAAGCACTCTGTGAGGTGGTGGACGAGAATGGAGAACTGTTTGCAGAATTCTGTGCATTCAACGATTTGGTGATTGGAGGTGAGGTAGTGTGTTCAAGCACAAGGACATCCACAAAGCCACATGGATTTCACCAGACACCAGATGGACACACTACACTAAAAATCAGATCGACTTCATCTCAATCTCAAGAAAGTGGAGACTCAGACAGCCTACTTGACACAAGGTCAAGAAGAGGAGCAGATGTAGATTCAGACCACTCACACCACTATCTAGTGCAAGGAACCTGCCTTCCAAACCAAGTTGAAAGCCTTCAAGGAAGTTGGTGATAGACCACAGTTCAAGTACAACACTCGGAAACTGAAGGATGAAACTACAAAGGAAATCTTCACATCAGTCAGCCATCAAGACAAAATGGGAGATATCGAGGAACATCCATGAAGAAACCTGTGTGGAAGAACACTGGAAGTCTTTGAAAGAGATGTGGAAAGAAACCTGCACAACCGTATTAGGAAGGAAGAATGAGGAAGATAAGGAATGGATCTCGATACATGGAAGCTGATAGAGCAGGGAGAGGAGGATGATGAAGCAGAAGATAAACCAGTGTAGGGATGCACAACGAGAAGAGGAACTGAGTACAATGTATAAAACAATACACGGGACAAAGACGTGAAGAAGAGTGCACGCAAAGACAAAAGACACTTCTACGACACTTTAGCAAGTGAAACAGAACAGGCTGCAGGCTGCATGTAGGAGAGACCTGACAACATTGTATCGAATAACCAGGTTACTATCTGGGAGGGAAGAGATCAAAGCAGATGAAACCAATAAAAGATGATGAAGGAAGTATAATTACGAAAGAAGAGAAACAAAAGAAACAATGGGCGGACCACTTCAAGAAGAGCTTGAATAGACCACCACCTGCAGCACAGTCACAGAACTACAAGTGAACATAAATCCTTCAACAAAAGTAGAAGTCCTGAACGCCATAAAGCTACTGAAATGTGGGAAAGCAGCAGCATCAGATGGAATCCCTCCAGAAGCACTGAAAACAGACGCAGAGACAACAGAGGACATGCTCACACCACACCACTATTGCAGAAGGTGTGGAAGGAAGGGAAGGTACCTGCTGATTGATTGGAAGCAGGGTTACCTTGTCAAACTGCCGAAGGAGGGAGACCTCAGTGTTTAACGGGAACGGGCGCAGAATCACTCTCCTGTCCCTGTCCACTCCAAGCAAACTATTAGGCCGCATCATCCTAGAGAGGCAAAAGTTCGCACTAGATTCTAGACTACTACCCGAACAGGCAGGTTTCAGGAAGTACAAATCATGTGCAGACCAAATTGCAACGCTACGCTATACATCATCATACAACGAAGTACAGAATAGCAGTCAAATCTCTACCTCAACTTCATCGACTTCTAGAAGGCCTTTGACAGAGTCGACCGAGAGGTAATTTGGAAACTGTTTCAATACTATGGAATACCACAAACATTTATCAGTCTCATTCAACAACTATTTGAAGACGCCACATGCCAGCCAAGTAATTAACAATGGGAAGCTCAGCTCAGTGATGCTTTTGAAGTGAAGACAGATAGGAGTAAAACAGGGCTGCTTCTTAATATCACGCATGATATTCCTGACTGTGGTCGACTGGACTGGATCATGCAACAGGCCGTGAGAAACGAGAAGAGGGGGATACGCTGGCTGGACAGTGGAAAACAACCTAGAACATTCGGATTTCACCGATGACTTGTGTCCGATGTCACACAAACTTGAAGATCTATAGGTGAAAACTAACAAGTCGACAGAAGAGGCAGGGCAGCGAAGGAAGACGGGACTTCAGGTGAATATAGAGAAGACAGGGGTGATGAAGATACCACACCAACAACTCCAATAACAACAACAAACTCCAATCACTATCAACAGGAGAAATCTAAAGGAAGTAACCTCCTTCACCTATCCAGGCAGCACTGCTTCAACTACAGGAGGGACAGACGAGGATGTCCATGTCTGAATCGGAAAAGCAAGAGAGGCGTTCATTAGCCTGAAACCAGTGTGGAGATCTTCTTTACTCAGCATAAAGTGTGAACAAGATTCGGATTCTCAACACCAACCCAGTCAAGTCAGTGCTTCTATAGGATGCTTCAGAGACTTGGCGCGTTACAAAAGGCATTTCCGACAAACTACAGACATTCATCAACAACTGCCTACACTGCCTCGTTACTGAAGATTAGATAGATTGCCAGAAAGAATAAGTAACAAGGAACTCTGGCTGGTAACGAACCATTCAAGAACCCATCACCCAACAAATATGCACTGGAAGGAAGTGGAGATGGATTGGATTGGGCATACACTGAGAAGGCCAACTGGGGACATCACGCGTCAGATCAGGCACTCGAGTGGAACCCAGATGGAAAACGACGAGTTGGGCGTCCGGGGTGAGGGTGACATGAAGAAGATTGTGTGAGGAGGAGATGAGAGCTTGTGGGCTGTCGTGGAGGCAGGTTCAAAAGATTTCAGAGAACAGAGTGGAATGGAGACGTGCTACTGAAGCTCTATGTTCCATTAGGAACCCAAGGGACTGATTATATATACATATATATATGAGCACCAGTGCCTTAGAACATTTTAGATAGATCTCGATGCTTGATTTAAGCATTTTTCTTCATTCGTTCTTTTGCTTTACCCAAGATAAAATGATTCGTCTTTGTGAACGAATCTGAATGATCCAAACAAGGGGTATTTCATTTCTCTGGTATTATATTCCTCTCTGTTCATAGAAATAGTTATCTTCAGTTTATTGATCACAACTATTCTATTCTGTGATTACTTCTGCTTTACTGACTATTCAATTCTTAAATGATTAGAGGTGAATATATTTGTTTTGTTAAAATGCAGGCTTATGCATAAGTTTGGAACCCAGCACATCTAACGCAATGGAAGGATTTATCACCACTTCAACCTAAATCATACTTATTTCTAAGCCTGTAATGCATTTTGGTGATATATAAAGTTGAATTCAACAATACCAAGAAGTATGTTAGGCAGAAATAAACACCTGGAAGGCGCATTGCAACGTATAGCTCAAAGAATCTTATGAAAGCATGGCAGTTGACTGTTGAAAATGAGCCAACTTGAGTTCGCCTTAGTTGAAAAAAGGAACAAAGAAGTAAGAAGTGATGAATTCGTCCCAGGATTACTTAAGAAGACATTTTGTTTAGCTAATTTGGTTTCTGTGTACAAGAAAATTTACTCATTGAATCACTTATTAACAAATATATTCTCTGATTAAATCACTTCTTTTTACATTTAAATCCAAATAACTGGTGATAAAGATTTTAATAGATCATATAAAGATGTTGCGAAGACATTCTCTTAAGGAAAGGAATACTCTTAGAATCACAGTGGCAAAACACATTGAACAAAAGAAGTAGAAAGTAGGTCAACCATACTTTTAAAGCATGATGATTTTCCTAAGCGCTTCAGTGATCATTGTTTTCTAATACTCCTGACTTTAATTCTTAATGCAATGGATAACATCATCAACTTTGCTGCCGCATTTGACTTCTGATATCTGTATTGTTTCATTTTTTATCTTCACCTTTTGACTGATTGATTCCGAAGCTTTTGAATGCCCAGTTTTCACTTCGTGACGTCCTAGTTACGATGATTAATGGTGGAAGAGAGTAAACTTATCGTAACCAAGAAATTTTGCTGTCTTCAGTCTGCTCAAATGTGTGTAAATGACAACAACTTCTCTTTCACAAGTCTACAGATAAAAAGATTATTTGTTAAGGTATCTGTGGGAAAAGCATTTTTTGCATGTTGTGTGTTTGTAATCGTAATATTGTGAAAATTGTGCAGACTTGGTTTTAGGAAGAAGTCGCAAAATGTCAGACATCTATTTTTGTAACCCACTGGAATTGTTTCAGTAGATGCATCCATTACTTACCTATCTTTCTGTAATACGACGAAAAAACCCTTATTGACAATTTGGTTTCCGGAGCACTCAGTGATTCATGTTATGTTCTATGCTAAACGACAAAAATGCGGTATTCTTAAAGCTATACTTCAGTCGCTTTTCGCAGAAGATGATTCAAGTGATACAGACTATCATATGTAAGTTATCTGTATGAAATAACATGACAAATCGGAATTTCAGGTTGGTACTCATCATGGACTGAAATCAGTTGGAGAAACACTGTAAGTCACGAAACACTAGATAGGTGTTTCGTCGCAATATGTGACTCCTCAGTAGTCTATACTCACAACCCCACCCTGACAGGGAGTGAACTCAGGATCGCAAGGTTCCGCGTCCGACAAGGTGAAATTGAGCCACTAAACTGGAAATCGGTGGTCCATATTTCCACGACATAGTGCCACCTCCACCAAATGCCTTCATTGATTAAATGTGTTCATGTTCGATTTGGCTGGCACCTTGTGGTCACGACTTCTCATTAGAACTTCGGAAATCACCTCTAGAAGCTGAAGGTCCTGGTTTCAATCTCTGGCAGGGTGAAGTCATGGATGCACACTGCTCAGGATTCCCATAGTACGACGAAACAGCTCTCTAGTGCTTCCCGATTTCCAATGTTTCTCCAACTGATATCAGTCTATAATGAATACCAACCGAAAACCAATGGGCAAATCCCCACGAACCTCTAAGTAGGAATTTCTTAGACATCTAACTTCATCTAGGCAAGAGAATGAAAGAGGTGATGTGTTAAAGATACTGTTTACCTCAAAACCACAAATTTATGAAGTATAGAATCATTAAATAGAAATATAAGTATTTCTTACTTTCGTCAAATTCACTTTTTAAAGCTTTGATGTCATCATTGGACCCACATATTCGATAGATTCCTACCTCCAGTAAACCTCTACGCTCAATTTCTTCTACGCATGCAGTAACAAAACGGGGTATAAATACTTCAGATTTTTGTTTTTTCATGTTCCCATCACCACCCTGTTCAAGTGGGACTCTGAAAAAAATTGTTAAAAAAACTGTGAAGCACCAAAATATCTATCTTTTCGGTTTGGAAGTTCGTGGGTTTTATTTGTTGTTTTCAAATTGGTTTCAATCACAGACTGACATCAGTTGCAGAATCATTGAAAAGCTGGGTGCACTGACCGATTGCTTTTTCCTAATATGGAACAAAGGTCACGCTGTGTCGCGAACTCCCAGAAATATCGAACTGCAGACCAGAGAATACTAACCTAGTGGTTTAGTTGCGGCGTACTTGCCCTGTAACTTGATTGTCCCGGGTTTGAGCTCTGGAGGAGTCATGGGTGCACACTGCTGAGAAGTCTTACACTTGGACGAAACGCCCGCCCAGTGTTTCCAGATTCTCAACGGTTCCCCAAATGATGTTGATTTTGAATAAATACCAGTCCAAACTCAGTAAACAAATCCCAACAAGCCTCCAAATTGAATTATCGTCTTGCGCTCCATGATGACCTGCTATGAGATAATTTCATGAAGTTTTTACCTTGAAGTCACGACTATTGCGGCAAACAAAGTAGAAGATAGTTTCTGAAAGATTGCATTAGATAGAGGTAGTGCTATATCGTAAACTGACAGCAGTAGAAAAATCTGGATAATTTAGTTGTTCATAAAACTCACTTAAGTCAACTAATATACTTTTGTTAATGAAAGCTGAAATACGCGTTTAACCTGCTAAAAACGTTTTTCTTTGGTACAGATGACATTCGGTAAGATGGTTTATTCATTCTAGTTACCACAGTTCAAAGAACTGGGACATCAGATAGTATATGACAAGAAGCATAATGGTTTTAAAGGGAATCAAATGCGGTGGACAGAAGTGAAGAGTTCTGTTAAAATAAATGCTGGAAACTGAAAAAAGACAATGAACATTATGTATGCGTTTGTTAGGCTTTATTCAAAGCCGTGTACTATGTACCTAGAGTCATTACTTTATGCTGTTTTTAGTAGTGTTTGCGAAGGAGAAAGCTAGGCTACAGAGCGATTAGACATATATTAGTGAGAAGTACGATTGCTTTTTGGTGGAAAAGAGTAACCACTTTGACTTCAATGAGATTAGTGTATGCTAATGAATATGTATTCACGAAGATAACACTTTTATGTCATAAGAATTCCTTTATGTGTTGCGATAAATTTTTGTTCAGTCCACATCATCAAATATTTGCATTTGATAACTAAATTGAGAAGAAATACGCCAACAGTTATGATGTACATTTTTTGTGAAGGTGACGGTTAGCCTAAAGGTCGCAAGTCACAAAAACTTGTCGTGTTACGTTGATGGTTGGAGCACGTAGTTCATTGCTGTATAGTGAATCCTTCAGGAAGTATTTAAATGAATGTAAGCTATTTTGAACTTTTAAGGGATACCTTACTTCCATCTACCACTGAACAATTTTAGAAGCCTAATTCTATCAAAAACGTAGAAATTAACATTATATTCTCAATACTTAAAACAGCAATTGCATTCGTTTGTAGATTTGTTGTATAAGTTGATAACATCAGGAAAACTTTCAAGAAAGAAACCAAGAACGATTAGCCATGTAACCTTGATTTTTGCTTTCTGCTTTTCATGCAGCATAAAGTGAAATATATTCCAATATTTAGGTTCACAATATACTCTGAATGAAAAACACCCCTCAGGTAATGACTGAATGCCACAATCTAGTGAATGATTCGATAAGAGGATAAGCAGTCCCTTCATATGAAATAAGGTGTAACGAATTAACTCTCCTAAAGACTAAAATTATCAGACAGGGGAGAGATTTTATCACTGAATCTCTGCTTATCCTTTCAACACGTAGCAAATGTAAGAGGAATAATTCAACGCCCATTTCAGATGTAATGAAAGTTCCCCTGCCATTAAAGTCAAAGAGCAAGTAGTGAAACTATATAGACGATAACTATCTGAGCAAACACTTTTTCTCAAATAAATTTTCATCAGGCTCTTCAGTTATATGTTCATTGGTCCAATGCTGTCGGACTCAAATTGTGCAAATTTACGGTGTAATAAGATTATGAGCAATAAATTGTGATCCAACTTCAGTTCAGTAAGCTGTAGTGCATCGCTTTGTCATATATCAAACAAACGTCTTCTGCATGTAATAACACTCCAATACGTGACCGAATTCTAAGCTTACACTAAGCAACAATTTGATGAAGAAATTGAAAGGTAAATGAGAGTTCCACACAGCGAATGAGTGCCTTACTTTATGAGCTCTTTAAGATGACGACCGAACAGATTTCCAGGGATTTCAGACCTCCGATTTTTGTTGAGATTCATTTGATCAATATATTCCAAAGATATCGTAAAGACTAGCTGTATAAACAAATGAAAAAAAAATGTAATACTTTACATTTCAACAACATCTGTATACAAACTTATATAATTAGACAAATATTTTCGGTAAATAAATGTAGCTTACTAGGTAATACAAAAATCATTGTCAGGCTTACGCAAAAGTGATTCCTTCATGATTAAAACCCATGCAAAGTGTCCTTGTAACACACATCTATTTATTCAGGTATGATAGGATAAAAAACCTTTGGCTATGTCATTGCCTATTATTCTGAGTTTGTTTTTGTTTCATAAATCTTAGTTTATGACAATTTTCCAACGGAATTCAACTCCTCAATCAATCGTTCTTCAAAGAAAACTAATATTCACAGAAGTATTGTCAACTTTGCTTGTTCTCATCAAGGTTTTCATGTCAATATCTTTCCGACCAAAAATGGAGCCTATTTTTAAATTCATTTTGTTTATTTGCATTGAACAGTGTTTAACATAGTTATTGAAAACATGATTAATCTTTGTTGTTATCCTTTGTTTTCTTCTCATGTGTATATTTTTTTATTATTGTCCATCTACAGGATGACTTAACTCTTTGACCACCGATGTGTCATGGGACCATCACCTTAGTCTTGGGTGGTTAGTTGTAAAGTAAAAGAGATAAGTTAATTGATGAAGTTTTAAACCTACCTAAAATAAATTGGCTAGGACATATGTCACACGTATTTGGTTGCCGTTTACCAAGTCATGCAAATTTAGCTAATTCGGGAATATACTGGCAAAAGGTTAAATATGGTTAGAATAAAACATAATCTCAGCCCACGCAGTATCTGATTATCGTCATAAGTTGCTTAGGGAGGTGTGGACTCCTAGTTTGTGGTCCATGCGATAATGGACATCACTGATGTGAGACTGCAGAAGGTATAGGTCAGAATCGATGACAGTGGAGTAGATGCACCTATATATTGTCTTTATTCTGTCACATTATTTTTCTTGATTGCCTTATCTGTTGCTCCTCCCTTTATAAGAAGTTCTACAGTTTTGACTGTATTTATTTCCTATCTTTCAACCGCTCACTTTTCTGTCTTGTAGATTGATATGAAGTGTGGCGGCTAGGACTGTTACTATGTAATACGCTGGTGTTGACCACTAACTGGCTGGCTCAGGATGAATGCTTCAGTCCGTCAGTTTTTTAACAAGGTACCTATTTGTTCATATATTGATGAGTACCTTATCAACCATCAGAAGTGTTCACAATGGTACATTCATGCTCGCAACAACTTGACCTACATACAAACATCTTTAAGCTGAGATCCAAATGATCATCACAACAAGCTATTTAGTTCATTAGGGGAACACTTAAGTTTTTGAACATCGGTTAAGAACCAGGCATTTAATCTATTGCAGCTCTACAAGGTACCTACTAAGTAGAAGAATTTGGTCTTCCGAAGTTAAATAAACAAAGAGGGTCGCTTAATTTTTGTTAAGCAAACTAGATTAGGGCCAAGCTAGCAGTTCACTCTTTTAAGTCTGTTGAGGGAGTGTCAGACTAGCCAGCTAGGGGCTGCTTGGTCCCAACTCTAACATGGCCTATTTGTTTTCGGTCAAATTCAGTCATTATCTCTGAAAATGAAGGTCAGTCTGTCAACCACGAACCTCTCAGGTATTTCATATAAGAAACAGTGATAAACTGGTTTTCAGATTGTGAAGAACTACTAAAATGTCAGTTTTCAAAACATCCCCTTTCATCCACGAAGCTGATTTTAAAAAAAATGAATACTATTAGTTTATTGTACGTCGTCTCCAACATTTACATGTAAGTAATAGACTAGGTCATGGGAGATCTAAGGTGAGTGAAGTGATAGAGAGCGGTTTGCTTCTTCATTATCTTACAGTTTGACGGTAGTCAATCAGAAAACTTGCTTGAGCTCATGCAGACTGTATTGTTTATATATGATGTGTAGATGAAAATACAAGGACTAGAAACAATCGTCTGTCTGCAAAGTTTTCAGTCTAGTTAGGTGCTTGATTCATTCTTTTATTTTTAAGATATGACAAAAAATTTTCGACACCGCTGGTTATGCAGTTCATGGCTGAACTTCAGAGACGAGACAGTAGCTTACTGTGATACTACTGAATTTAAAATCACAGTAGGATAAGAGCAGCTAGGACTATGCTTTGAAAATGTATGTTGACATAATTCGTGAGTTGTATTGTTTGTATGCGTAGAGAAGAATGTACTACTTAATGCAGAGTGTTAGGTGGACTAAAATATAACCTCTGCTTAAACATTTACGATGTCTTCCAAGTGTAATACACGCAATAGCGGTTTTATTTTATGTTCGATTTCACCCATGTGATTATCTGCAAAATCCAGAAACATTGGATATGTTGAAAGTGTTATTACCATCCTGTACACTAATCCGTGTGATGAAAATAAAATGTGATGAATAAGGAGGTCGTTTTCAAAATTGCGCACGCACACATTGATTATTCTGGTCAATAAAACTGGCCTTATCCTACTTTATCTATGCGAGGAGTTAGTAAGCATTACTGAAGTATACCTTTTGCTTCTTGAGCTTGTAAACTTATCCACTTGGATCTGCACGATAAACATAGCAAAGGAAGACGATAGTTACCATCCAAATATATTTTTTGTTTCCTACTCAAGATAGGAAAGCCTTTAAGTTTTTAGCATCACATTCAGTTCAACGTCTTTAATAGATAGACCATCACCAAGCATACTACCTGAACCGTGTCTATTTTCGACACATCAGAAAACTTTTATCAAGATAGTGAAGAATGAATGAACTCACATCTCTTGGAGGGTTTTCATTTGTTGGTACCTTCATTACTGTTACTGAGTTCTGTTTCAGTGTCTCCAAGTCTAACTGAAAATTTTGGGGAAATGGTTAACAAATAGTAAAGTTACATAATATGTGGTAAAGTACGCGTAATGAGTCAAGGAAAAAAACGAAATGTTTGTTAAAATCTGAAGAATATGAATAAGATTCATTGTCCTACTAGTGAATAGCACACACAAGAACTAGAACTGAGAATTTACACCTCGAAAGTGTAATTATCTAGAAATGTCAATAATGTTATTCCTTACCTTCTATATCTAAAACGTTTTCTATATCTGAAACGATACGCCGGAAACTAACTAAAAAGAATACTTTTCTACTAAGAGGGATGATGGTTATTTGAGTTTTATCGAAGGTCGTCATTGAATATCTGAAAGTACATGATGTAATTTAACCTTAGGTGGACTATATGATTCCTTAAATTGGTGCCTAGCTGAATCACGGGATTATGCTTCCTAAAATTACTATAAATCCGAGAATCAGTAACCTTAATCAGGTTTTTCTCGTAAGTTAACGACTTATGGATAAGATATTCTATTTTTTTAAAATACAGTAATATTTATAGTACGCTCAAGGCTTGTGGAATCAATTATTCTAATATATATGCATTAGAAAGCTTGGTCTCTTCAAAACGGGTTATTCCTTTGTCTATCTCTTGGGTTTAACGTAGAACCTCAATTGGCCAAGGAAACGATATCCCTCCTGATCAACGAAGATAAAAACCTTTCAGAACGCACGAAACTGAAATGTTCAAGTCTGATGGAACTCATCGACCGTTGTATGACAACATACTTTCAGTTTAACGACAAGATATACAAACAGATGAAAGGAACTCCAATGAGATCACCGATATCCGGATTAATAGCAGAAGCAGTGATGCAGAGACTGGAAGCCATTATTCTACCTGTGATCAAACCAAAAATTTGGATTCGTTATGTAGACGACACTTTTGTCACCATTAAAAAGAATGATATAGAAAACACTTACAGTTTGATCAACAACGTTTTCAATGACATCAAATTCACAATGGAGAAAGAGTCAAACAACCAACTACCATTCCTGGATGTTTTAGTCAGCAGGACAAATGCCGGAAAGCTGCAAACCCAAGTGTACAGGAAGCCAACACACACACTGACTAAATCCTCAACTAAAATAGCAACAACCCAACAACACACAAAATTAGTTGCTTGCAGAGTCTATTCAAAAGAGCGAGAACACACTGCAGCACAACAACTTCACGGAGAAACGAAGAAAATTACCTGGTGTCCACGCTAAAGAAGAACGGCTACCCACGAAACTTCATCAGAAGATGCCTATCCCGTGCATCACCAACTACAAAGTCATCGACAGAAATCAACAAACGCATCGTCCTACCATACATAAAGAATATATCAGAAATCACAACAAGATTGCCGAGACCACTTGGAATTGGTGTGGCTCATAAACCAACAAATCCCCTCCAAACACTATTATGCAGACCAAAGGATGCAACAAACAAAGAAGACAAACCGAATATCACTTACAAAATCAACTGCAATAACTGTAGTCAGCACTACATTGGACAAAGTGGCCGCCCTCTTTGCCTTCGTCTAAATGAGCACCAATTGGCTATTAAACGGCACGACATTTCGTCACTCATTTCAATGCACGTGGATAATTATTCAATTTTGACAATGTAGAAATTTTGGACAGAGGAAACACAAAGAATATCAGAGAATTTCTAGAAGCTTGGCATTCAGGTCAGTCAGCAATCAATAGATGTATAGACATAGACCCGATCTATCAACCAATAAGAAAAATGGTAAAAAACAGAAAGGTCAGAGGTGAAGCAGAGGAACAGCCAACGGGAAAGTCTATACAATCAATGACGCAAAAATAGAAGGAAACAACCAATCATAAACCACATCGTCAGAGCAAGCTACTAAATCACTCACGGAGAGATATTGACAGCTCACTTCATACTGAAGTTAGTGCTGATGATGTCGTCTAGCAAGGCGATGAAAGCTTCACGATTAAACAACCCAGCTCAGAGAACACAACACAACCAACACCATCCACCTGAACTGCAAATATTCTCCATTATTTCAAGGTCAGTCTTTTTCGTGGAAAAACTATTCACTGGATAAACGTTTACTATTAATATTTCAAATCAAGTTTGTTTGAATACAAACCAAAGGAATCGGTACGCAACAAAATCCATGTTTAATCATACATTAACTGTGACAGGTGAAGATCACTGGCTTATGAAGTGTTTATAAATATGATAGGCTTTTAAGGGTCAGAAATCTGTGATACCTTCACGGGGAACGAGGTATACGCTATTCAGCTTTATGGCGGGTTAAAAAGTGATACATAAGCAGGGCAGTTCGTTCTAAATTCATGAATTTTACAGCTTGATCGTCTGCTCATCATTCATATGAATTTGAGCAAGACAATCTTGGAAGGAAAATATTTTGACATTTAAAAAAAAATATTTTTAAATTGATTATGCGTTTTATATCTTGCTGATTTTCATGATGAGTGAATCTCAAAACACAATGATCTGCAGTAGGAATGGAATCAGTAGTCTATGAGTTAATAGCCCAGTTTTTATAGCAAAGAAGGTTTCATGGTGATAGTTATTAGTTATTATGTAATTTTAATCCTTTCAAGATCCAACTAACCCTATAAATGAGTCGTTAAATTAAACAATCGAAACCATATGTATGAACAGTTGTGAAATTATCAACAGAAAATGTCGGCAACTTTTAACTCTAAAATATCTTCGCATTGAAGGCGGTTAAATATGGTAATGATACAGATATTTTAACTCCATACACTGTAAAACATCAGTAGCGTATGCTGAGTGTCCTGAACGAGATTTTAATAGGTATATGCTGATACAGTAGTTTAAGGGTGAAATTTCCCTAACAGGTAATGAATAGAAAAAACATGCACTACTTTAGTGAATAACAGACAATGCGAGATAAGTGTTCTTTTAAGATGAGTAAAAATGAAAAGAATACCAATCTACTACCGGTTTCATTTATTCATAATTATGGTCTACTTGATATGCTGTAAATCGTGATTCATTGAAAACTTTATTATTTAAAAAATAATCATTGTCACCAGTTAAGTCTATAAAGAAGTAGCAGAAACCAGACTATAGCAGATAACCCTTCATGTTAACTGGTGGCTTGACAGTAACCCCTGTTCTAATCTTTCATGATATGACAAGTTCGTAATCAGATCTTGGAAACAGGCATTGTTTAATTGTAATAAAGACTTCAAAAAAGGCAGAACAACTCCTAAAAATGGTATCAGTAGCTCTTCATAAAAATTCAGTCGCTGCATGCATATTGGTTGGAATGGACTCGTTATTGGTATGTAGTTGAATAAAAAAATATACTTACGGGGACTTCTAGTTCCGCTAACATTTCTTGATGAATATTTAAAGTGAAGCACATTGTCCATGCTCCATCCACCTCCAAATCAAATGACTGAAATCAATAAAATTAGAAACATTCTAAATTCAACTTGAGAAAATTAGTTACCTGGGGTCCACTTAGTATCGTTATTTGAATAACGTCATTAGCAACCAAAATATGTAAATTTACAGGGGAACTATCCAGAACACCTTCATGTGGTGTTGTTATTCTTGCATAAGACATGGAAATCAGACACTAGTTTGTTTTATTTATTTTTCCTTTTTTTGATGTATTATGTTTAATGAGGAATATCAATTGCCTGGAATTGAAGATTCGGGAAAATTGTATAAAACCACTATTTTTACTAACAGCTTTCTTCATGCTGAAAAGTCGTCGTTATGTATACAGCAGCAAATGAAGTCTTTTGAAAAGTTTACTCATGTTTTATAAAGAATATCTCTAATCTCTTCATGCCTGAAACCTGTACTGTTATTTACACTCGTATACGTATACTATTTCGAAGACTGTTATTCCCGTCACCCTTGGTGATAACTTTGGTGATCCTAAAAATTTAAGAAAGACATGACCCATCACTGCAGATGTCTGCTACATTTGGTTACTGAAAGCCAACATTTTAGGGTTTCATAATCTTTAGATAGGTAATTATTGGAATATTCGACTACTGTGAGTGCAATAAAGTACATGGTTTTGTTAGTCTGTCACACCACAAGAATTGTGTTTTCCATAGGGTGTTATTAAAAGTTACAGGATACGACGGAAATATGGTATGATTCATTGAAGCCTTAATTGACAGTTTCTTTTTCTTCCTCTTTGAGATGAAAAATAACTGAAACACCCGAAAATTGAGCTAGGTAATCCGTCAGCAACAAACTAGTTTCAGTTATCTTAAAGATGGTTCCTGAGACATCTAAGACTAATTAATCTAGGGATGACTACAAATGACCTTTCGTGGTATTGAATAACTGAGTTTAGCGAATACAAGTTACTGAATTCTAACTCGGTCTCTTAGCCTCAACACTTTCATCACAGAATATCGAAATCTTCAGACTGGTGACTGAAATTTTAAATGCATGACCTGTTGTCTAGTTGAAGCCATCGGAAAGATTTTCAGCCTTAACCGGTGAATGCATAGTTAAGGTCCGCTCTTAACTTGAAAAGATGGTTGAAAACTTGATTTCCCGGAAGAAATTACTTGAATAGTAGTTACTATTAGTTTCTGCTTCCGGTTGTTTCGTGTACATGATTCAATCTGTCTGTAAATATTACACGGAAAAAAATCGAATATTTACACCATACCAAATAAGAATGTCCATAATTTATACATATGTTTTGAAGTAGACAACATTAACTGCAATGATAGTGCCCCAGTTTCCATAGACATGGTGATATCCTCAATCTTAACTCATGAGCTTATTAGGGATGATTTTCAGAGTGAGTCATTCTTTGAGCTAGACTTTTTGTCGGAAAACATCCCAATGTCATGAAGGATGTTGCTATCAGTGTATCGCAGCCTCACACTCACATTACCAATTAACTGGTGAGAAGTACTGGAATTCATTATCATAATTACTAGCATTTATCAACAAGAGACATTCCAAAAAGAAATATGTAGAGCAACTGGAAAGGAATGATCTTAGCTCACCAGACAAGACATACACATTGACTGATAAAAGTTAGTTAGCAGTTAGGATACGACAATAGTTACAATTCAGTAACAATTTTATGTATAATCGAACGGTGTAAGTGAGAAGTTTCAGCCTAGATATTTCACTGTTATCACGTCTAAGTTAAATGCTTATGCAAATTTCCAAGAGAGCATGAGTTCCTGCTATTTTACAAATATAGAAACCATCCCATTTAAATGTAGGAAAACGAATTGTTTCAGTGAAGACAAAGTTTTCTTTCCAACGTAATCATTCTCTTAGCCGTAAATTTGCAAATGTATAGTAGAAATGACATAACATTCCACAGTAATTTCTGGTCAAAGGTCAGTATAAATTACATCACGAGGGAAAATTACGTATCTTTCCTCTGCGATGCAATTTATAAGGATCATTGACCAGAAATTACTCTGGAATGTTCTATGATTTCTGTCATTATTTCACAGAGTCAAACGTTGCCTTTGTGCGGGTTCAGTGTCCAACTGTAACAGTGATAATGTGCATATTTTATACAGCAGTTCTACAAACTAGCATTTTGAAATAAGAAAGGGTAATAACTAACGAATCCTTGTGTAACAAATCCAAACTTCATGTCTTTAGTGGAAATCACTGAGCATTCAGTCTGGAGTTGAGAAGAACTTTATTACTATTCAAGTTAAAGCGACTTAAGTAGTTAGACTATAATAACTAAGGGCTAAAATTTACCTGGCTGTATTCAAATGAGTTCAGAGAGTGAACTGTATCTACGTAAACATTTAATGCTATCATGAGATATATCAGATGAACAAACGAAATATGGAATTAAATCCTACTAACTGGTCAATGTTCAAGCATCTTCGTGGGCTTCAAGTAACCTTCATTAAAATCCCTCTTTACCTCTCCGTGATTCTACTACTACTATATTTTAATATGGAAATTGAATGTGACCTGTAAATTCCACGAACAACGTCTTACCTGTTCCCATTGAGGATTAGCCTGCTGTAAAACTCTTGTACGAGCCACTTCTTCGTATTGGCCATACGAGTCAACTTCGATGCAAACGTGATAGCCTAAAATTACGAAGCATTCAGATGATTATTTTTCAGATTTAATAAAGTCAAATGAGAAGGCAGAGTATAAAGTTATTCTGTATTAGTTTGTAGTAAAACTAGTGACAAATTTGTTGTTATTTAGTGGGTTATATTTTCAACAAATTTTATCGTGTCGACACCCCACACGATTTTATAAATCTATTGTCGTTTGTTTGCCAGTCTTAGTGGTAATGAAATCTGTGAGTAGTTAGAAAATGACACTTGGAAAGTGAGTAAATAGATTTCGAAGAATTTTGATTAAACAAAAAAATATGTCAAAGCTTACTGTTCTTTTCATCCAGTCCATCAATTCCGTGTATTGTAGCCTTGATGAAGCCAGTTACTGGTTCATTCTCTGTAAGGTAAATGAAAGAGTTAACGAAATCCTCAAACATAATAAAGTGTTCGCGTCATGAATGTTTCAATGTTTGGTTATCAAACAGCTACCATCACCAACCTCAAAAATGTCGAAAACTATCACCGGTTATCATTTCAGTGTATTTCAGTGTATGGTATTTCATAACCATAATGGAAGAGATATAAGCTGAAACATTTTATATATATTGTTTAATTTGAAGTCGAGATCAGCTTTATCTTGAACGCAATGTAGTTAAAGGAAACGCTTCACTATGACTAGATCTGCCGTAATTGCCAATATAAATGAAGAAATTAGAGACGGTGTACCTTAACTCTAGTGCTAAAAACTGAATTACTTTTTAGGTGAACTAATCTCAATCATTTAATATCGACGGTAGTCTGAATTGCTTATTCTAATAGATAAAAAAATTTGATGTGAAGAAGATATACACTGAGATACAAAATAAGACCAAGCAGTTCAGTGAAGTGTATTCTTTCGCTTAACTCATTGTCAAAACTCAACAACCATGAATTCAAACATTTTTCTTGTTCTTTTGCTTGACATTGGAAAATGATTTGGTTTAGTGGTAACACATCGAGAAAAGAGTGTGGGTGAAGTTCTCTTGAAGCGAAGTGTCTACATAACCAAAATGGTGGATGTACTCTTCAGCGGAAAAATATTTTCTAAACCTGCGAAACAGAAGAATAACGTGTAATCTACTGGTCACAAGTGTAACGACATTGTCAGAGAATCGAAACATGACTTAATAGTAAATGGTGACTTGTACGAATATGACAAAAAAAGGGTTACAAAATTCCATACATGCATGGATTGTCAAAAATTCACAAGGCAGGTTTTCCTCTTCTTCCATTCACATAAATCTCTGAATTTCCTAGTAATCAGATCAAGTAATGTTAAGCCAAACTCCCAGAGCCGCAAAAAAGACTGATCATTATCTGTATTCCCCGTGACACTTTTGAACTTTTTATTTCCATTGCGGACGTGAACGTATCTCATGAATCTGTGGTGTCACTTAATGTCAAGTTGCTTGCCACCGATGTTTAGCTTACCGAAACTGTCTCTTTTTAGTAAAGATACATAAAAATTAACAAATCGACTGTGGGAATGCCGACCGTCTGATTCAAGAGCTTTTTACTTAGATGCTTATTAAGTGTTAAATTCAAAATAAACGACTTGACTTCTTAGTAGGAAAGGAAATCGCCATGGAATCCCTACTAGGTCCACTACTAACAGAATACTTTGGGAGATCGATGTGTAATGGTTAATCAACTAAATTTCATCTTTTGACCACCATGAGTCGCAAACACTAACTAACCATATCTGTTGCCACTAAAATTATGCAAAACTGCAGTCCCAGTATGTCAGAAGAATGAATTATGCCCTAGGAAATACTACGATTGAAAAAGGTTATCACTATGTTTCAAGGAAAAACATACCAAACCAAAACACCTCATGGAGGAACTTATCAAAGTGATGAAAATGACGCCTTATTTGAATCCAAATTTCAAGGGTTAACCCCTCATTAAATATCTAATGAACAAAATATCAAACTCTCTTAGAAGGTCACTGGAGCTGACACCTATTGATTTTTACAATAGTGAAGAACAAACTTTCGTATTTAATCATTTTTGTCTGTGTTCATCAATTCACGCGATCTTGTGGAATCAAGTAAATAGGTCTTTTGATGCAAATGTTGTCCGAAACGTTTCAGAAGCCCTATCCCATGTGGTTACAAAGAGGTGACATGGATCGATAAGAAGTGGGACGGTTGAACACACCGCGAACACGGTTCACTCTGTCTAAAGAACCTACAACATAAAGACAATATTGATAACATAAACAGCGTTCAACGATACTTCTTCTTATTTTACAAAATCAGCCATCTATTAGAAGGACCAATTACGCCACCAACATCATGTTAATCAGCAATAACAAATAGGTACTTTAATAATCACAAGAAGTCAGAGCTATGAAGTTACCGCCTTAAATCCATATGTCAATTCAGAGGCGTTTATGGAAGCAGATACGTAGTTTGTAAGTAGAAGTGTCTGTATTCGCAAATGACAGAGCATTTGACTAATGTGTTGGAGAGAGCAGAAGAGTAAACATGGAATCATTCGATAACAATACATCTAATTAACAATGAACATGATACTGAGACCTTCAATTTCCTACGACCATGAGTAGACTGCATAATTAGATGTTTGCTGTTGCAGAAGCCTGAATGTTTCGATTTTTCGAACCAAACCTCCATCTCGAAAAAGAAATGGTAGTAAACTTGAATTAACCATGGTAACAATTGCAACGTGGTTTAATCATATCTTATCCTTCCTGCCTACAATTTTCACCCCTATATGACCAGTCTTTTATTTACTCATTCTCTGTTCTATTCAATTCGTTTTATTCCTCTTACCACTGTTATCATTTTTACTCATCTCAAGATACACTTAATTTGCTTATGATGTTTAGTCCGACCCTTTTATCAAATGTCGTGACTGACTAATTGTTGTACTCAGAATGATTTAATCTAACTTCACCCTATTCACTTATCGACCCAACACCAAGAATAATAAAGTTGTTATTGTCATCATTAGTTTTTACCCCCCACTACCATCCTACTTCTTACTCCACTGTTATCTACCCTTAATTTATATTCAGGCTATTCGGTTTAGACATCCACTCCAACCGTTAGCATTACCACTTGCTCTGTTAAGGTTGTTGGTTTCTATTTTTCTATACCATAATCGGTGTCTCAGTTTGTTACTTATTTATGTTTTCTTACATTGCCTTGGTGTATAGATAATGAAATACGTAGAGTGTACAGTAGATGAATTCTAGTGAGATTCATAAATTTATTAAATCTTACTTTTTAAAAACCCTTTCCTTGTGTAAAATTTGAAAACAAATGTTTCAACACTAAAAATCTACCCTTATTAGTGCAACTAGACGAAAATAAATGAAGCATATCTCTTTTGTATGACTGCTACGACAGGTGTTCAATCAACTTTCACTTGGCCAGTAAACTGATTCAAGGGATGTTTACCAAATGCAACAAATAGTTTTCCCCCGAATGGTTATATTAGTTAGATAAAAAGGTTTTACTAACTGCAAATTGTTGGATAGGATTCCCTGAAGTAGTTATCAACAACAAATTTTCGATATTACACAGTATTACGAGGAATATATTTTCAAAATCTAAGTAAAATTAGAAGGAAACACCTATTTTGCTTTCTGTACAGAAGGGTTAAATGCTGAGATATGGAGATGAGACTTATTTTTAAATGATTACTCCGTTTAGAAGTAGTATTTATCATGGACTGACGTCAGTTGGGGAACCACTGAAAATCTGGGAGCACTGAGGAGTACTATACTAGGACAAAACAGCTGTCCAGTGCTCCCAGATTTTCAATGTTTCCACAACTGACGTCAGTTCATGATGAATACTATTTCTAAATTTAAAAAAATCCCCATTCATCTCAAAGTAGATTACTCCTTTGTTTGTTGCATCCAGAAGCACAAAAATAATTATCTTCGAAACACCTTATGGTATAGTTTATAAGTTACTCTTCTCCGTAGACAAACCATTTGCTGCCGATGAATTCAGATAAATATAATAGGTACTTACTTGTATTAGACAATTCTACAACCTTGATAACCTTGTATTTTAATCCTAATAACAGAATCCGAGAATTTTATAGTGCTTTAAGTATGCTTTATCATCTGTTGATATTCTTTGAAAAAGATTTATAATCCAAAAAGCTTTTGCTCCTATTTTCGTGAAATGTAAGTTAAGTAGATACTCAAAGTGAATCTAATGCACGCGCAGGTCATGACTAATATTTTACTTGACACTACATAACTGCTTCTGTAGAAAATACCAGAAATTATTCTCAAACCAGTCTCATTCAATGATTTAACTCAATTTTTGGAAGCTATCTCTATTAGACTATTAATTTGTTACAACAATTTAGTGGTAGTAAAGTTTTCTAAATATCTACAATATGGGAGGGGTCATTCCTGTCATATGTGTGAGACGTTGATTCAATGAACAAAGATTCGGTGAACAATCTTTCCCCCCAACTAGTTATATTGAATTTTTGGATTGTCTCCCTGTCCTACTCCATAGTGTAGGATGACCTTAAAGGCCATCGTAACACTTAATAAAACAACCAATTAAACTACCATTATTATTATTATTATTAGTCCCTTGGGTTCCTAGTGGAACATAGGGCTTCAGTAGCACGCCTCCAGTGACCTCTGTTCTCTGAGATCTTTTGAACCTGGTCCCACGACAGCCCAGAAGCTCTCATTTCCTGCTCGCACGACCTCCTCCATGTCACCCTTGGACGTCCAACTCGTCGCTTCCCATGGGGATTCCACTCGAGGGCCTGACGCGTGATGTCCTCAGTCGGCCTTCTCAGTGCATGGCCAATCCATCTCCACTTCTTCCTGCATATTTGTTGCGTGATAGGTTCTTGGTTGGTTCGTTCCCAGAGTTCCTTGTTGCTTATTTTTTCTGGCCATCTGATCTTCAGCAGCGAGCGTAAGCAGTTGTTGATGAATGTCTGTAGTTTATTGGAAATACCTTTCGTGACGCGCCAAGTCTCTGAGCCATACAAGAGCACTGACTTGACGTTGGTGTTGAAAATCCGTATCTTGTTCCGCATGCTGAGTGCAGAAGATCTCCACACTGGTTTCAGGCTAATGAATGCCTGTCTTGCTTTTCCGATTCTGACTTTGACGTCCTCGTCCGTCCCGCCTGTAGTTGAAACAGTGCTTCCTAGATAAGTGAAGGAGGTTACTTCCTTTAAGTTTCTCCCGTTGACAGTGATTGGAGTTTGTTGTTGTTGTTGATGGTGGTGGTGCGGTATCTTCATCACTTCTGTCTTCTCTATATTCACCTGAAGTCCCGTCTTCGCTGCCTCTTCTATCAACTTGTTAGTTTTTGCCTGCAGATCTTCAAGTTTATGTGACATTAGGCATAAGTCATCGGCGAAATCCAAGTCTTCTAGGTTCTTTTCCGTCGTCCAGTGTATCCCCCTCTTCTCGCTGCCTACTGTTTGCTGCATGATCCAGTCCACCACAATAAGGAATATCATGGGGGATAGTAGGCAACCTTGTTTCACTCCTGTCTTCACTTCAAAGGCATCACTGAGCTTCCCATTGTGGATTACTTGGCATGTGGCATCTTCATATAGTTGTTGAATGAGGCGGATAAAGGTTTGCGGCACTCCGTAGTAATGAAGCAGCTTCCAAATTACCTCTCGGTCGACGCTGTCAAAGGCCTTCTCAAAGTCGATGAAGTTGAGGTGGAGAGGTGATTGCCATTCTATGCTCTGTTCTATGATGATGCGAAGCGTTGCAATTTGGTCTGCACATGATTTGTACTTCCTGAAGCCTGCCTGTTCCGGTCGTAGTTTTGAATCCAGTGCATCCCTTAGCCTCTCCAGGATGATGCGGCTTAATATTTTACTTGGGGTGGACAGGAGAGTGATTCCGCGCCAGTTCTTGCAAGCACTGAGGTCTCCCTTCTTCGGCAGTTTGACAAGGTAACCCTTCTTCCAATCGTCAGGTACCTTCTCTTCCTTCCACACCTTCTGCAATAGTGGTGTGAGCATGGCCGCTGTTGTCTCTGCATCTGTTTTCAGTGCTTCTGGCGGTATTCCATCTGGTCCTGCTGCTTTCCCACATTTCAGTAGCTTTATGGCGTTCAGGACTTCCATTTTCGTTGGGGGATTATTGTTCACTTGTAGTTCAGCGGCTGCAGGTGGTATTTCTGGACGAAGTGCAGGTGGTGGTCGATTCAAGAGCTTCTTGAAGTGGTCGGCCCATCGTTTCCTCTGTTTCTCTTCTTTTGTAATTAAATTTCCTTCTTCATCTTTTATTGGTTTCATCTGTGTTGGTCTCTTCCCTGACAGCAACCTGGTTATTTGATACAATGTCGTCAGGTCTCTCTTACCTGCAGCCTGTTCTGCTTCACTTGCCAGTGTTTCGTAGAAGTGTCTTTTGTCGTTGCGTGCACTCTTCTTCACTTCTTTGTCCAGTGTTTTATACATTGTGCTCAGTTCCTCTTGTCGTTGAGCATCCTTGCACTGGTTTATCTTCCGCTTCACCATCCTCCTCTCCTCTATCAGCTTCCAGGTATCCGTCGAGATCCATTCCTTGTCTTCCACCTTCTTCCTTCCTAATACTGTTGTGCAGGTTTCTTTCCACATAGCTTTCAAAGACTTCCAATGTTCTTCCACACAGGTTTCTTCAGGGATGTTGCTCGATGTCTCCCATTTTGTCTTGATGGCTGCCTTGAAGATCTCCTTTGTAGTTTCATCCTTCAGTTTCCGAGTGTTGTACTTGAATTGAGGTCTATCACCAGCTTCCTTGAAGGCTTTTAACTTGATTTGGAAGGTTCCTTGCACTAGGTAGTGGTCTGAACCTACATCTGCTCCTCTTCTTGACCTCGTGTTAAGTAGACTGCGTCTCCATTTTCTTGAGATTGAGATAAAGTCGATTTGATTTTTAGTGTGTCCATCTGGTGAAATCCATGTCGCTTTGTGGATATCTTTGTGCCTGAACACACTGCCTCCAATCACCAAATCGTTGAATGCGCAGAATTCTGCAAACAATTCTCCATTCTCATTCATTTCACCTAGTGCCTCTCGACCCATGGTTAGTTCTCTTCCCGTGTTGTCCCCTCCCAGACGACATAGAAAAACCTTATCTGTTTCTTCAGTCATTGCTAAAGTAACGACTAAAGCAACTGCACAGAAACATTGTTCATTGAATCAACACCGAACACATGTAACAGGAATGACTCCACATACTGCAGATGTGTGGGAAATTTTACTATTACTAAAATAAATGAATGAGCTGCTGATCTGTATAGTGGAAGCTTGAAAGTCTCATGATTACTTTAATGCGAATATGAGCAGTGAATTCTACGTGAAATGTCATCTAGCAAACCATATTGTATCACTGTGGTATATAAAATAAACTATCTAGTAAACAATATTATACTCCATCACAGTGCTCATGTTTTACAGCTTACATTAATGAAAGCCATTCCACCAACAAAAAAAGTCTATGAGAGTGCAGTTTGCAGATTCCTTACTACACATGAGTAATAAGACAGCGTTATTCATGTGCAACAATGAATAGTTTGATCAGTAGATAAATTGTTGCATAACTTACTACCAAGGAGGGCAAGACCAACTTTATTTAGTGTAACCACCTAGTTGAAAAGCAAGAACAATAATATAATTAGGTTTGAATAGCTAGAAGTTATGTTGTAATTAACAGTGAGTTAATAAAATCGTACAAATCTCTATACATTGGATTATTTGAAGGCTTATTGAGGTTCAGAGTCTCAATAAATCTTTTTACTGATATTCACTTATTCCATCGCAATAACTGCCAGACAAGAAGTATTCCACTTCACGGAAATAGTACTATTCCTAAAACCTTAATAGTGTCCCCCACCATCCAGAACATTAAGTTTGTTTCTTTTATCATGTGAAGAGATGGTTAGATCTTAATGATGTTGATATGAAAACAAGCTAATGCATTGATTCTGAGCAACTGGTTAGAGTAAACTGTATTATAGGACTGTTTAGTTAGGTGGATATGATCAAAGTAAAAAGGATTATGTTTTTACAGAATCAACTAAATACGATTGAGTAAAGTTTTTGAAAAAATACAAATGAACCAAAATACTGTCAGCATTCGGGTATTTTGCTAATGACACTCAAAAGAGTACAAAATAGTAAGCCTTTCAGAATAACCCGTTCTCGGTAGCCCTCAATCTGATGTCATTTTGTGATCAAAATGTATTTTGTGATAGCAGTCTAGACAGTTCATTGAGCTCAATATTAATATAACAGTAGAAATAGAGGATTATGATCAAGTATAATTACATTGAAATTCGCTTTTCACGCGTCACACAGCTAAACAGTAGATAATCTCCTGATACATGTGATGAAAGAGCCTAGACAATTGACTATTTATTACTTTTTTCTCCATCAAATTTTCATTTTATCTGACCACAGTTTATTCATTCAAGTAGTAGATTTTACTACTAATATATTACTACTTTTGTTGCAAGACCTTTTAGGAAAAGCGATTCACTTCCGTCTCTTTATAAGTAACCTGGTACGCCTTTAATCTGTTCTCTTACTTATAAGCCAAACATATTGTAATTCGCTTATTTGTAAGCATTGACCAAGCGATTGCCAGTTCATTTATCCAATAATGAGTTAGTTGTGAGGGTAACAACTTACAAATCTTACATTAGCATACTTACTTTTCCACATTATTTCTATTTATTTGATGTAGTAACTCATAAATTAGAGGCTATGGGACTAGGAAAATGAAATTCGGAAGTTATTTGACCACTTTCGTGTCTAAAACACTTTTCAGCAAACATTACAGTTGCATTTTACGATTTGTCAAACAAACAAATCTCCTTCCATCCTACCACAGAACTCAAACTTACTGCTCTTTTATTAGGAGATTGGAATCATCCTGAAGCGGTAATTTTATTTTATTTTCAAAGCTGTGTAAACTACTTTGACTGTTACCAACCTAGGCAGTATGCGTAGAAAACTCTCACTATCAAAACAGTTTCAGACAAGCATCCTGTTTACATACGAAGGAACGGCAGTTAGTTTTTATCCAGGAGGGCATTCCAGTTTCATATATATTCAGGTTTTTTAAGCTAAACCAGTAAGGCACAAAAAATGAAAATGGTAAGAAGATAATGCTCATGTAAGTTGCAAAGTCTTCGAAATAAGATTCTGCAATAGAAGAAGGTTACACAATTAATGTCAAGTAACACTAGAAGAAGATTTGGAATACTGAATGAAAACCGTTCACAAAAGAATTTAATTAAGGTGTTTCTCTTTTTGTATATCAAAGCAATATGGCTTCAAATATGCCAAAAAATTTCTTGACATGTTTTATAGATGGAGATCAATTATAAGTGCGGCGTTACTTTATATTAAGACCCCATGCTAGAAGCTTTCAATATATTTATGTAGGAAAATGTAACCTGATGCATAATATTTTGACTTCTAAGTGTCTACTGCCTCCAGATACTCACTTGCTGAATATATGAACGTGTAATGAAATCCACGCATACTGGTTAGACTGAATAGTGCGCAGTACTATAGTATCTGGTATAAATTTCTCTTCACATAAGCCCAAATCATCAATCATGTTTAGAGGCTTCTTTCGGATGCATAATATGGATCAAAAGAATATTTTAGGAGATCATACCTTAACACTAAAGATCAAACTGGAGATCCCTTCAATGGACGTCAATCTTTGGACAATTACATTATGAAGTTAGAAAGAGTCAGAGTCCTAAAACAATTTGGTTAATGAAGTATTGTTTGCCGAATAATTACCAAACAAATGCATTTTGAGTGACGACATAAATTTTATAGGTATCTACGAAACTCTGCTACAACCAACTGAAAAAATGTAAAAGGGTAATGATATAAAACTAGTCACATAGTCACATCGACTGAATAACGTGTACGGAATAGTATGGAGGTGATGAGTAATTGATAAAGTGTGCTTTATCATATCTTCATCTTAAGATTTCATGAGTGACATGTAGTATTTAGTTGGTAGACTATGAAATCAGCCCATAACTAGGGTTCAAATTTCATCAAAGTTTTTTCATACTTGTCCATATCACTCGAAATGATGGCACCGTTCATGCAGATTTTTTACAGCGGTTTATCGGTCATGAAATAGTTTATGAGCTGTTTTACTGACATCTGTTTTGTTGTAATGAGAATAATGTTATAAAAATATTTACATGATCAGTTCATGTTGATTGTAGTGAACATGATAGATGTCCAAAGCTATTATAGACCTACACGTCTATATAACTAATGATCCATGAAATATTTAAGATTCACTCATTTGTAACACGATTAACTTACATGTTCATATTTCTTCAGACGCTCGTGTAATTCTGTCAGTGTAGGATTTCGAGATACTGCCAAGGAACTCTCTGAATTCGCTTTTTCTAGAGTACTGATTTTCGGAATATCTAAAGAGCCGCTCTTGAAATGGTGTTTGTTTGACTGTTGTTCCAGGGCAGATCTCCAATGTGTCCGTTCTCTCTCTGTTGTCAGTAGGATATTGTGTACTCTAGAGTTTTTGTCAGCAATTGGTAAAATGAGTTGCGGTGTTTCCAGTACAAGTTTACCTTCCTGTTTAAAACAAAAGAAAAATTATTTCACTGACAGAATATACATAAAAACGTCATTGTTATTCCAACTTTAGTACAATAATGTGATAGAATATGGATTTCTTCTCATATTTTTCAATATTCTGTTGTGTCAGTGATATAATTCAGCCTCATACGATGCCTATATAACGTAAGTATATTCAATACTAATAGTCTGGATAACTTGATTACGAAACCTTTAAGGTGAAGTAAAATATGCTAAGGTTAATAAACGCATCTCACGCATTTTGTTCCTTAGATATAGTCGAACAAGGTAGAAACAATACAGTTTGAAAAATAAAGTATGCAAATTGAATTCTTATGATTCCTCTTCAGCTACAAACATTCCAAGGTTTCAAATATTACTATCAGTAGGTTTCAGAATAAAACTAACGAAACAGGGGATCAACAAACGGTGAAATTTATAAACAGTCATCAAAATATATATTTATTGATGTGATAAAGTCCAGAAGATAAAACTTAGGAGTATTGAATGAGGGATGCCGTAAGTAGATAAATGACAACAAAAACGTTCATCCGAATGAGTTAAAGTTAGCACATCAGTAAGAAGTAGGGAATCGAAGTACAACTTCAGCCTACCTAAGCATTGACAGGCCAGCTAAATATTCTTGTTGCGTACTGAAGTAGGATCAACAAAGTTTGATGGCAATGACTTCCACAGTAAAAGGTATGCTTATTCTTTTCTATATTTTTGTGCATGCTGTGAAAACCAGCTTCTGTCCTATTTCAACTACATCCCTTTCCATTTTACTTGTAAAGTGTCCTGCCTCTTCCAAATCATAGGGTTTTTGTAACATGCCCAGAAAACTTAGTAGTATCTTTTTTTACGATTCTTCTAACAAAGGTATTTCGACAGTTATGCATGGGATTTGTAGATACAGCTAGAGCTGACATCAACAGGATATCACTTCGTCTTAGATTGTTTTATTGAGTAGGTATTATTATACCGTTTGATCACTTTGGCTGCGTGGTCATATTTCATAATCAGCATTAAATTCTTTTCTCAGTTCATCAAGAACTAACCTCTCCTTCAAATGAAAGTTGGATAAGTTCTCGTTTCTTACCAGAGGTATGGCATTTGGATACCTGTCGGCTTTAGGATTGTTCCCACCTAGACGTGCACCTTAAATTCCGTTTTAGTATTAATGATCATACAAAATAGGCATCACTCAAAACAGCAACACCTGACTGACATATATCGACATTTTTGCCAAATCTACTTAACTTGAAGAAGTGATTCAGAACTACACAATCATACTTCTTTGTATGATTACAGTGTCAGCTGTGAAGATTTTGCTTATATCATGTTCCCTTACTCTCATAAACATCTCCAAACTTCAAGTTCTATGTACTAAGTGAAGCAGAAGAATCATAATTTTTCTTAACTAATTTTAACTAAGCTTAGCACAAATTAAGTAATTTAAAATCATCAAAACATTATGTTTAATAATTAAAGTCAACATTTGGATCCGATTCTGCAAAACTTTAATTCACGATTATCTCCCCTGACAGTCAAAACAAAAATCCTATTATTTCACAAGCTTTGCTGACTGCATTAAACAACAGTTAGGTTGTCAGAGGGTGTTTTCAGTCTTCTCGTTTATGACTTGTGATTTACCGGTGACTGAGTGGTTCGTTAATGAGATCATACCAATGGATTCACAAAAATTGTAACAGCATATCTTTATTTATGATATCATTTGCTTTCTGACAACTGCCACGCAGACAGGATGGTATTGCTGGAAATTTTCAGAATTTGATACCGGAAACTTGGTTGAATAGAAAGATAGGAAATAATTCAACTGAGAACTGAATAGTTCACGAAAGATAGTTTAATCATTACTAAGACGGCTCAACTTGTAATTCATCAAGTTTAAAAGCTTTATTTAATCTACTATTCAATATTCAGATCAAAGATTATGTCGTTATCAGTGTTATCTAGTTTATTTTTGAATTTACAAACTGATCAA